ATATAAAATCCAACCCAATATACTTGATCTCGATTGGACTTTCATATTTTTAAGGCAGTGGCCATTGGAAAGTGGCAAAAAGCCTGTTCATGTTAGCAAAGTGATCCATGATATTGCAAAGCAAATGGATCTTTGATCTAAATCTGCAATCAACATTTTATGATGTTGCTTCAGCACCTCTTTATCTCTCAATTGGTCAGATTATTATTGAATAAAAAATAAAAATAAAAATAAAAAATCAATAGTCCAAAATGACCGAAACCCATGGAGCTATTAATTCATACATACTTTGCAAGTTGCAACTTTGTTGAATCCATGGGCAATTATGGAGATCTAGCTTCATCTAGAATCCGTTGAATAATAGGCCCTAACCAGAGCAATAATAGACATGAAAAATATCATCAGCATTTCTATCTTTCTCTACCGTTTTATTTCCTTCAGGATCTTTGGAAAATCTAAGGCTGATGTCAATTCACTTGACCATATCGTCCCATTGTATGAAACCATGGCTAGCTTGACTCTATTCATATTGAACAATAACCTGCAAAACCCTAACGAACATCAAGTCTTGAGTAGCTCGTTAGAACGCAAAGGGGGAAAACGGTCGTTTAAGGACTCCTGCCTTTATTATTAGCTCAAGACCAAAGCATAGACCAACAGCTATACGAACAATAATGATGATAATGAAGTCATAAAAATGTGCTGTAAGAATATATTTGGGCAAAACTATGATTTTGGTTTGGCCAGTTCAGCCATCAAGCAGGCAAGGTAGTACCTGATCTGAATGAAATAGATGGGAAAAGCTAAACCCACTACCTTTACTTTTGTTTTGTCATTTACGTGGATGGAACTTTGATGAAACAAATGGTGCCCATCGGCTGACTTATAATGCAGCAACCGAAGAAATATGTCGTTCTAAGTGAAGGCACCATTTCATGGGATTCCTCCATAGCATCCCCCACCGTGGGGGTGAAAATTAAAGTGGAATATGTGGCCCTCAGTTCCATCCTCCCCCACCCACTAATGGCCTGTAATCATGGCGTCCATGCTAAGGTCAAAACAATCTCTCCCATCATTTTTTCTTTACAACAAATATTTTGGCTTTTATCTTTGCATTAATGTGATTTAACATGCCAACAAGAAAACTGGAGTAAAATAAACAAAATGAATGACCGGAAACAATTATATCTAGCGAGGTTGATAATTATTTGTAGCCACTTCAAATTAGTTTCATTTCTTTTTATTGTTCTCGAAACTTGGCCTGCCGTATATATCATCAATTGCTTTCTAGTTACCTTTTTTTTCCTTTTTTTTTTTTGTGTGGCAATTTTCTGTTTTGTACGTCCGCATGGTGACTTCTTGAGTTGTCAATAGTATTTTGTTCGAAAATATAGTGCTTCATGAACACACGCTTCATCATGCTGGTTGAAATCATGGAGGCTATGGCTTCAAATTTCCAACAAAATTTTGCTAGCTTAAGCAAGCCCAATTCATGAGGTGTAATGTCCAGAAAGGTTTTGTTTCTGTTCAAAGTTTGGAGGTGTTTCATCGCTTAATAAATTTTTTGGTTAATTGTAATTGTTTTATGTGTTTGATTAAATAACAAGAAATTAAGATGACTTTTTAGATTTAGAATATCCTGAAAATCCAAATAAATAAATAAATATGCATATAAGATTATTTAGTAAAATAACACATCTATAAAAATTATTATAAATTTATTGTGTTTATCATAGATCCGGTCCACAAAGTAACTTTAATTAAATAGAGAAATAATTATATTAAATTTTAAGAGAATAATGACGAAAGGCTATGTTTGTGCGTGTGTGTTGCTTGAAAAGAAATGAAAAGTTTTCTTTGTTGTTTTGTTTTTAGCTTAAACATGCAAATTATATATATATACATAAAAGAAACAAATTGGTCTTTCTTTGGCCCTTTTTGATATAGATGCAGTGAGAGAGAGCAACGGAGAAAGAAGAAAAATAAAAGAGTTTCTCTTTGTTTTTTCTTAGATTGTTATAACAAAGAAAAAAAACTGTAAAATATTGAAGTTTTCTCTAAAATTAAGTTTTAGATACGATAGTCATAGAGAAATGTAGCGTTCAATATAATAATGCATGTGGTATTGAGCTTTGCATAAACAAGAAAATTTCACAAAATTCAAGTTTTTATAGTGAGACATATCTAATAAAAAAATAACTTCTATTATTGTCAATATTTTTACTTTTTCAGTTTATAAATTTTTTTTGAGTTATTGTATTTTTTTTATTATAGTGGATTATTTTAGAGTTGATCTTGTGGTATTTTTCTTTACTATAAAGATAATTTTCCATGTAGATTTAGTATTTTTATAGTTGTACTCTTTTGATTGATTTATTTTATGTTTTTAGTTGTTGTGTGTGTTTGGTTTGATTATTTTCTAACGAGTCTAATTTATATATAGTTGAATTAAATTTTCAACAGCGGTATCATATTTTTTGTTGGAATATTTTTTTAAATTAAATGGAGAAAAATAATTTGAAAACTATGTTCAAACCGATGACTTCTAATTATTCAATTTATAAGCCAAGGATAAAGAATTTACTTTATTATCATGATAGGTTTGATTTGATTGAATTAGGTGATGATACTTAGAAAAAAAATAACATAGAAAAACTATTTGAGTTATCAAAGAGTTGGTGGATGGTAGTGTATTTCATTACCTATCCAAAGAGACAAATGTCTAAACACTATGAAAAGAATTAGAGTATGCATGAAAGAAATATTGCAAGGAATAAAACTTATTTAATTAGAAAGCTTGTGAATTTAAAATTCGATGTGGGAAATCTATTGTTGAACACTCAAGTGACATTTAGTATTCGACGAATTAGTTGATAATCGTGAAAATAGTACTAGATGATGAGTTACAAACGCTATTGTTATTAAAAATTTTGTTAAACACCTAGGAGATTTTAGTTGTGATACTTGATAATTTGCTCTAAATGGTATTTTGTTGCTATTTACTATCAAAGATAGTTTGTTCAATGAAGTAATAAGACAAAGCAAAGTAATGGCAGATGATGCATAAATTCTTATCATAAAGAACAAAAAACGAGTAGGAATAAAGAATTTAATGCAAAGGAAAATGACGGTCTAGCAGTCATTTCAAATGTTATCACTTTAGGAGAGAGTCACATCAAGAGAAATTGCAAGGAATGAAAGAAAGAATAAAAAAAAAATTGAAGAATGGGGTTAAAGATAATTAGAGCATTATTGTATTATTAATTTCGGATGGCAATTTGGTGATACCTTCATATGAAAAAGATACATATAATGTTGTAAATCTCTTATTGGATGCGTTGTTTACTCAATGACTACATATCATACTACTTCTTTGAAGAAATTCTTTATTGTGTACAGAGTAAAAGACTTTATCAAAGCAAAAATAGACAATAATAGTTATGCTAGTATTATAAAAGCTAGCGATGCATGTATAAAGATATGTACATGTCGTCCATAATTTAAATGATCTTCTATGTGTATTAGACTTACGTCTAAATCCGATTTCTAATCATATCATAGACATTTGTTAGATACTACAATCATTTTGGTGACGAAATATCGTAACTCACCAAGGAATCAATGGTTGTTGCCATAATTAATATTTGTGATAAATTATACAAGACAGAAATGAAGTTGAACGGACATAAAAATAGTGTAGTTAGGCATCAAATTTTTTTCTATAATTTTATTTTAAATGACAAGTTCAAATGAATGAAAAAAGATTAGCAAAGAAGTCTTGTGTTACTTTTGCTAAAGAGATTGCCACATACGGAAAAGTATTAAGTGAAAAAAATACAAAATTGATATTGAACTAGCAATTGATGATGATTATGGCATAGATATGAGAAATATTGAGTAAGAGTAGTAGAAACTTCGATTTCAAAATATAGAGTTTTAGATGAGTAGGTTTATTGGTAAGTATAATTTTTTTTACTAAGAATTCTAGTTTTAATAATGCCTCGTTGATAAACGATGAGAGGATAAATAGCTTTCGTAATATTTTAATTCGTAATAGGGTTAGTAATTAAAATTTAATGATTAAAGATGTCATTGACTTTATAAGGTGATGGAGAAATAATTAGCAATGTTGAGAATGATTTTTCAAGATATAAAACTTATTGATATGGAGACAAAATTGATAATGGGTGAGAAAAATGGATGGAATGCTATTGTGACTGACATGAATTCTGAATAATGAGTTGAGATTTTTCCATCATGAGCTCCAGAAAGAGATTTGTTGAGTGTATGCTATAGGTTTAGTCTACGAATTACCTTAGCTTAACTTATTAAGAAATTAAATAAGAGAAGGACTCCATTGAATTTTGAAAGAAAAAAGACGCAAAAGTTTATGTTTGTGCATGTGTATGGCGTGAAAATTTTTTTTAAAAAAATTATTTTCTTTCTTCCGTTTTTTTGAGCGAACACATGGAATATATATATATATATATATGAAAAAAAAATTAGTCTTTCTTTGTCCTTTTTTGGCACAGTTGCCGAGAGAGAGCAGGAGCAAAGGGAGAAGCAAAAGAGAGGAGTTTCTTCTTTTTGGTTTTTCTTAGATTGCTATAACAAGAAAAGAAGGATGTTTGACGTATAAAATATTGAGACTTTCTGCAGAATTGAGTTTTGAATACTATCACAGTTTAAAATGATAATCTCAACAACACTAAGCTTTACATAGAGATTTTTGTAGATTTTATATTTTCGTGATGCGATAGATTTAACTAAAAAAATAACTTATATCATTATTTTATACTTTATAAAAAAATTAAAGATATATTAATACAATTAAAATTAATAACGAGAACATTTTGATTGAAAAAATAATAATTCTTCTTTCCAAACACTTGATAGTGAGATTCCCCAGTTTTAAAATCAAATCACATTCCTCGCTCTGCTCCAGGACGAAATGCTGTTTCTTTCTTTTTTTAATTCTCAATAATTTATCGATTTGACAGCTAGGTTTCCCCAATTGGCCAATAATAGAACATCCAGCTCATAATTGTTTTTCCTTCGTCCAATATTTGTTGTTGGGTCTCGTCCCTGCCTCGCTTTCTTTTGTTTTGTGGCTGCCCTTCAACTTTGTCCCGTTCTACGGTCTTTGTTTTTATCTTCGCTGGTGTTGCTTTCAATGCGTCCCTGATTTGAGAAAAGGACATGACTTTAACATTTATAATAATCCGTGAACGTAACAACCGGCAGCATTTGCTCATCTCCAACTAATTTTTGACAAAATGAGAAAGATGGTACGCCAATTTAATTTAAGCAACAAAAATCAATCACTGTTTAAAGCTCTCCAAAAATAAAAGACTACGATTGAAGCTAAAAGATGAGCTCAAGAAAGACTGAATTCTAAACAAAGGAAGAAGCCTTAAGTGACAAGAACTTCTATAATTGGCAAGTTATGATTCTAATTAGTAGTTCTTAGAATATATTATTAAGCAAACTTACGCATGAAGTTTACTTGTCTTGGAGGAATATTTGAGCTCCAACTTTAATTGTCTTCTTGGCTTTTTAAAGTATTTATAAGCTGAATTAAATAACAAAAGCCGTTTTGAATTTGATTAGGACGGACCGAGACCTGGTAATTGGTATCGATGGATTTGAAAATTTTTACTTAGAAAAGTTCAATTTTTTGTCACAAAGTAGTTGTTTTGCCTTTAGATTTTTTTTTTAAAAAAAAACACTATATAAAATAGAAACTTTGTTATGTACAATTTTCGAACTTAAATAAAACTCCTGTAGAATCTTGAATATTTCTGTGTCCGGAGAAAGAAGACAAAGGGAATACAAGGATCAGGATACTAACAAACTACAAAACCATATTGTTTATATTTGTTTTATGCAAAAGGCAGTCCACACCGATGCTATTTAGTGCTTGGCGCGTGGTGGGAAATTCCTCCCGGCCATTTGTTAACGTTTGCTTTTTCAAGGGCCCATGCCCTATGAAATTAGTGAAACTACCATTACACCGCAACGGTTCAAAATACAATTACACCCCGGACTCTGTTAAATTTTAACTCTGGTTGTAAAAGCTTATTTGAAACTTGGTTCCTCATTTAAGAAAGACTAGTCATCATCACAGCAAAAGTCCTTTTTTTTTTAATTACAATTTGGACCTGATAATTTACTTTCAATTATTTTAAATTACCTTTATAAAAATGGTAAATCATAGTTAAGATATTCTATTATTATGTACTTCAATTTGTTAAACTTAATCATTTCGGGTAGTTTAATTTTTAAGCTAGTATAATATATTTTTGAAGGGTTAGGTTAGTTAGTACGTGTATTTGCTTTTCAGGTACGAAGCGATAGTAAGAAAATAATTTATTTTGAATCTATGCATGATCATAGTTTTTAAATTTAAATTACAAATCTAGTATATTTCAAATTAGCGGTTTGATAAAATTAAATCTGTTGCATTGCTTTTATATATTTTTTAATTTCTTATTTATTTAAAGACATGGAGTCTTGTTTACATATGAAAGGAGCCTTTTCCTTAATCAGTAGATCTCGTAAATAAAATAATCTTTGATTATAATTTTTTATTGTGCTGATAAATTCTCATGTATCCCAAGAGTATCCATCAATTAAAACAACTCCGGTCAAAATGGCCTGGTTGACTCGATGCCTTCTCAATTCCATCGTTGGGTTGGGGCTAATTGTCTAAATGCCACAAAATGATAGAGTTATCCCTTCTGTTTATCTCAAAGTTTTAATCTTTTTTAACTTTTCACACTAATGGAAAAGAAGAAGTTAATTTTAACTCATGGCTTGGTAGTCAGTGTCATAAGATTTCTTAGCTTATAAATAATAGCAAGAAATTAATAAGTGATATTTGGATTTAGAATATATATATACATATATATATAGTCCCAAATCCAAATATCCAAACTAATCTCTTATCGTTTTGTCTCATGTACAAGATCGAATAACTACTCAAATAGTTTTTTACATACATAAGAACTCGAATACAAAATAATTTATTTAAGTTACTAGAACTCGTTCTATTGAAGTAAGACAAATTAAATTTTAGAATCAAGTAAATGTAATCACATGTATGACTGATTTGTAAATTTGTACCTCATCTCGTAATTTAAATTCTAATAATTTATTTCCAATTTTTTTCTAGTAATATATGTACATCACGAGTTTTAAAATACTAAACTCTAACTTCTTCTAAGTCAAATATACTCATTTACATGGCTATCAAATCTAGCAAATCAAATACATTTGATAACGGGTTTGTCTTTCTATCTTCTATATTTAAATTTTATCGTTTTTATTCATTAATTAATAAAAAATTTATTTAAAACTATAAAGAGTAATTATTTTTTTAAACATTCACTATTCTTTACAGTTTAGTTTTTATTAAAAAAAAATTTTTTTATTTGAAATTATCATGATTATTTTATCAATAAGAAATACAAAATAGTTTTCTACTGTAAGGAATTCCCCATACCTAGCACATGACAAACTCTCAAGCCACCATATGTTAGACAATATTTATTGTATCACAGTTATTTTAGAAATCAACATATTCATTACCAAGAAAAATGTAGGTTTCCTGTTGGACCAAAAGATTGGTAATAAAATTAAAGATTTTTATTGTCTAAAATTTTTAAAGTAATTAATATTATCTATATGCCTTGGTTTGAGAGACTACTATGTTTGTAGTAGGAGAAATTCCTGCGGCCCAAGGGAAAAAAATTATTATTCATGAAAAGTTATAAATTAAAGACAATGGCAATGTGGTCTAACCATGAAATTTTCAATAGAAGTGGAAGGGAATTTATAATACATGAACTTGGAATAATAACACCCTTCGATGTGTTATGTTACGAGTATATTTCTACTTTTTCAAATAAATTTGCATATTTTATCAATGGAAGTATTCGATTACAAAATATCGAAGAACTTTTAGTAATTTAGGATTCAAAACATTTAGATATTTTATTTATTTTATCTAAAATCAAAAATATATTAATTGATGTCTCGTGTTGAAACGTAAAGCATATGTTTTAGAAAAAAACATAAATAAAAGTGTTTATTCGATTAAAACAGAGAAGATTTAGGTAATTTAACCTAATGCCATTAAGAAACAAACATTTTTCTCTTTGCAATGATTTTTTTTTAAAAGGACTAAACTCGAATGGAAATATTTAAGAATGAAGTATTTATTAATAATTTGAATTCATAAAATTTGGATCAATATGTAATTTTATTGAAATGTCAAGAAACGTTAAGTTATGAATTGGGGTAACTCTGAGATTTGTAAGAGTTAATAAAATAGGTAAATAAAAACATTTTATAAGATTTCCGGGTGGTTAGTAATAATGTCAGGAAACTAGACACCTAAAAGAAAGAAAGAGAATCGTGGTATATCACTCAACATCAACAACCAATTTAAAAGGAAAAGCGGCATTTAAAAGTAGCGGCACCGTAGTAGCTTATCAGGCACCCAGGCTTCTGTGATACATTGAACGGATGATTCCATGAGATTCTGCCTCATAGCCAGCCGCTTCTCCTGCCTTTTTCACTTATTATAACAATTTTTTTAAAACTAATTATACATCATTTTCTTCCAGTTTGTGCTTGAACAAACCTCAGTTTTTAAGATTATGTTATCTCACCAAACTAATTAATTTTGTGAGTTTACTATTATTTTTAGATAAATACTAGCATACATCCCGTGTGTTGCTTGCAGGTAAGCTATACAACATGCTTATGTATTCATTCTTATAAAATATAAAATTTATAAATAATTATTTAAAAATATCATGCGAAAAAAATATAAAAAAAGAAGAACTAAAACATGTATTTCATAATTTGCAACAAGGGTAGCTAAACAAAAAATCTACAAAGTTGAGTAATATAATGTTACTAATTATATATTGTTTGATATAATTAACATATATATAATAAATGATAATTAAAATAATAATGTGGTAGTTTTTTGAATTTTAGATGATTAATTTTTACCATATATTATTCATTTGTAATTTGTTAATGAGACGAGAAAAACCACCTAAAACAAAAGGATAAAAAACCGTTCTCAAATCGAGAATTTGGCAAAGAAAATAAAGACAAAATTACACACGATAAAAATTAAATGATCAAAAAAAAATAAAGATAAAAAAAGATCAAAATAAATAAAAAAATTTTCACTGAAAGCAAAAAAAAAAAAAACCTTATAAACAATAAGACTAAAAAAAATCATTATGCATAAGGTAGGAACAAAAATAAAACATTATAGAATTTTAATAATCAAAATTAAAAAAATATAAAATAAGAATCAAAACAGAAAATATTTTTTACTAAAAAAAACTTAGAATAGTGAAACCGTATTTAATTTTAGTGTAGAATGAATAATAATCAAATATAATAAAAATTTAATGATCAAAATAAATGAAAGATCACAAAACAAAAACCAAAATATAACAAAAATTTTACTAAAAGTAAAAAATAGTTTATTTTAGGGAAAAAAATCAAATATAATCAAAATTTAATAATCAAAATAAAAAATAATTACAAAACAGGGACTAAAAAAAAATATGTTAAATTTAATGACGAAAACAAAGAAAAAATCACAAAACATGAATTATAATAGAAAGAAAAGTTTCACTAAAAGGCAAAAAAAAAAAAAAAAGCTTAGGATAGTAAACTTTATTTAGTTTTAGTATAGTAAGTATAAAAAATAAAACATGATAAAACTTAATAATCAAAATAAAAACATATCATAAAATAGGAATAAAAAAACCAAAATTTTACTAAAATTCAAGAAAAAATATAAAAGGCAATTCCCTTAGAAGCTTGGAAGCCAGCAACCGAAACCAAGAAAAAAAAAAAAGATGTAAAAGCTTCGGAGCCAGCAACCGAAAAAAAAAAAAAAAAAAAAAAAAAAAAAAAAACAGTTGAATGCTAAAGTAGTTTTTCGTTTTTTTTTTACTTTTATTGTAAGGTAATAAAATAATTTAGCAACTTATAATAAATTTGTTATGAAAAGGTACAAGCAGCTGCGTGCTGAATCTTAAAAATACAATATAAATTACAAATAACTTAACTGAGAAGCAATTTATGTATGATCTTCAATACTTTACAGTATTTATCAATAACATGCTATCAAATAATGCATTATAAAAATCTAATTCTTGATATCACTTAAGAAAAAAAATCAAATTATAAAAAGTATAGTTGAACGTATTTTTTGTGTTTATTCCTTTCCATATTTTCTCAATCTTTCCCCACCAAAAAAAAAAAAAAAATTAACCCTATCTTTAACCATATTATATCAACACAATGATGTGATTACGGTGGCACCAACTACTAAATGTTTATTTATAAAATACTATATCATCTAAAATTTACTATTTTTTTATGAATAGTTTACATTCACGAGATCCAAAATCGTGGCATAGGATTTAGCACTTAGATGTTTTTTTTTTTTTTAAGGATCGGAATGGTTGAGCTATTTGCACTAGACAAGATTCTTTTGTAAACAGAATTAATTGTAAGATTGAAACAAAAAAAGTATTAAAGTACGGCTATGTTTATTATAATACATAATCCAAAGTGAGAGTGTCGAGTAGTCGCAAAAGAAAACCTTTCCTCTTCCCGTGCCTGAGATCACGGAACGGTTATTGCTTCTTGAAACGTGGCGTCCTATCATTGGCCATCTGCTCATTTTCGAACGTTATTGTCAACTAGTTGGTTTCTTGCTGTCAGATCCACTTTGCAACTTTATTCTTTTTCCAGTTGTCCCTTTCTAAAGGTTTACGAGCATTGTGCCTGATCTACTCCCAAAGCCTTGTATTTTTGTTTGTTTTTTTAATAGAGATTACAAATGTGTGATAAAATGGGTGTTGCGTTGGATTCGAGTTTAGTATATTCATTTACTACTATTTTATTTAAATTCAGCAGTCTAAGGATTGAGTCATGTGTGAAAAAAAAAAAGAAGATTCATTCATTCGGTCAGAAATTTTCAAATTTGAATTCTATTAAAAGACCATTTTTTTATTATTATTTTTTAAATAAAAATATCATAAATTTTAATCTCATAATATTAGTATAAATTCATTTCAAATATATGTAAATATAAAACATGTAATTTATCTTTTGTTTTTTTTGTTTGTCGAAGTATATGGTGAACTTACCTATATATTTATTTTCTATACATTATATCAATGCTGATATTTTAAATTTTCTCACGTCAAATATATATTATTTTTGGAAAATTCTTTGTCAAACCGCGCAGGTCATTTTAAATAATATTTTATTAATAGTAATTAAATATAATTGATTTAATGGTCATTTTGAGAGCTTCAAGTTGCAACTCGCAATTTTAGTTCAATTCTACAAATATTTTAACTTTCTATCTTTTTACTGAGCTCCGTAAAATTTTAGGTCAATTCTACAAATCATAGTTTTACAATAATTAGTCACTGTGCTCTGACACGCATCGCAATATGTTGGTTAACTGATTAGAATATTGTCTGACAAATAATAATAATAATAATAAGAATAATAACAAGCCTGAAGGAATGTCATCCGGCATCAAATGACCCCTTGGGGATGAATGGGTCCACTCAAATATATTGTATGGCTCAGTGGTTAATTGGTGATATAACTCAAGTATTGTCTGTATGCACTTTTTTGACTGGTAAACGAGTCCTAGCTGATGTTTGCTTGTTTTTTTTTTTCGACACTCTTTCCTTCTTTTCTTCCCCACTAGATGTACGTATGAACACAAGAAAAAAAGTGCCAAAAGAATTTGACTCTAATGGTGTGGTTCATAGAATTCAAATAGATGATTCAAGTGATCTGATGATATTTTTCTCAGCATATAAAATTGAAAATGAATTACACATTACAATGTTTAAATTTTTTAAATGAAACTCATATTCAAATTTTTAATTTTATATGGTATTATAGTTTTATAAATGTTTGAGAGCCTAATAAAGATTTTAAAACTCAATTAATTTGATAGATTGTAAAGGATAGATTGCAAGTGACAGAGAATATTAAAAAATATATACCATTTTGAATAAATAAATAAATTAATCATAACGTATAGAGTTAAGAATAAATCATCCCTCAAATTTTTTTTAAATAAAATTTATACTTAACTATATAATTCTATATGCTCTATCTAAAATCAAAATAAAAGATTTAAGTAGTTAAAAACAAGCTAGTTTGAATATAAATACTTTTTAAAACTTTATGTATACAACCTTATTTAACGACACACTAATTGATAAAAAAAAAAAACAAATATATAATTTTTCTCAAAAAAACATATTTATGTAGTTGCTTCATGCTTGGTGTGCTATCATTCGCAATATTCCAGTGCTAAAAGTGATATAACATACTTTTTGATAAAGGTTATATGGCATGATTTTGCTTTACAGAATACCAAAAATCATGGTTATAAGTTAGTAGGGGATAAGCAACGTAACAATTTGATAAAGTTTGTTGACGTGATGAGTATTTTTTTTTTTTAAGGTTTGGTGATGAAGTTGATTTTTTTAAAACGTGGAATTTAATGTTATTCGTAGTGATTATTGACTATATACTAAAATCAAAGAACCAACCAATTTAAAATAATAAGTTATTAGACGAAGCTTAGTGAACGAGTTATATTATTTAATAACATATTTTATCAAATAAAAAATTTTTAAACTCCAAATACTTGAAACTAATTCTATAATATTTCTTGTACTGATAATTTTAGTTTAATCACAAGAAATAATGGAATTAACATAGGTTTCAAACTTCTAAGTATTAATTTTATCAAAAGGGCTATGACATAAAAAAATAAAAATTAAACCCATCAATTCAAGGCTTTGAATTTTTTATATTCATAGGCAGTTCAAATTCAACCTTGATATTTTGGCAGTCGAATGAGATATAGTTTCCGTACGTGCATGTTTTATGATTTTATGAAAAAATATAAATTAGCAACTTTTATTCGTCAAATTAAATTAAAGTTCATCTTTCGAATCCGATCACAGCCTGTTCCCACATGGAGGATAGAGAATTCAAGTGAATTTTACAACATCGATCTGGGGAAATTGTAATATAGGTGTCAAGTTTCCTTAAAATGAACACTTCAATTGCCATTATTAATACATTATAAAAGACGTCTTAAATTGTTAATCACAACATCGAACCAGGGAAATTTTTTAGAGGAGGGAAAGGGTGGGAAAATTATGAAAAGGGAACGGACGAGGCGGAAAGAAAATAAGCTCTTCTTGTTTGGATTCGTATCTAGGTGAATGGAAGTTACCTTCCCCTTCTATTAAAAAGTTTTTCCAAACAAGATTGATTAATTAGTTTTCCTCCATTCATCTCCTTTCCAAACAAAAAGTATTAAATACTTTCTTTTAACCAAATCTGATATTCAGTTAAATATATTCTTAATAATATAAATTATATATTAAAATTTTATTTAATAGTTTCAATCTTTAAACTTGTGTAAACTTTACTTAAAAAAATACACGATAAAGTAATATAAATCATTATGAATTAAATGAAATGGTACTTTAACAGTGACAACGTCTAGTCGTTTCCCATATTCTAAGGCTCCAGAGACTTCAACAAACTCACATAGCCAAAGCCAAGCTGTAAAGGCGTTGCCCATTCACGAAGGAAAATCGTAATTTCCATGAGAGAATGCATCGATATCCCTCTCATGGAACCTCATGTGTGCATCCTTGTTCACACAGAAGGAAGGAATACCAAAAAAGTCTGTGATATCCCTACCCACCATTTTAAGCAAAAATCCACATGTTAGCAAGACTCACATGTGGTTTACTTGCAAGTCAATGCTCGATTATATCCCAACGGCCGTTATTGCTTCGTGGGTGTGAAAAAGATACAGAGTTAGTTGGTTCAATTAATATTTACTAGTTTTGAAAGTGATCCGAAATTATCCAAAACAGAGAATTCCCTCATAAAATTAGAGGTTTGAATCTCACTGAAACTTATAATTAGTAATATGTTTACATATAATTACAACTATCTTAAAAAATACTTTAAGTTTCGACGTCGACACATTGACAATCATAATTTTTCTAAATGAAATTATGATAGGATGTAAATATAATATTTCTTGAATGAATGAATGGTGCCTCCTTAGTCATTTGGCTTTAAGGTATCTAGATACAATATCTCTTGAGTTATCAAATTTCAAAAAATAAAAATAAAAATTAATAGTTGTAGATGTCTCTTTAGTTATTTATTTTTGTTTTGTCTTTGTCGTATCTTTTTATTTTTATTTTTCATCTTAAATTCATCTTATTATATTTGGCTTCTGTGTCTTAATCTCATTTTTCCATAAATTGTTAGACAAACAATGTTAATTTGTTTGTTTTCTATCTTAATCTCATCCATCCATTTAATTTTTTCTTCTTAATCTTATGTTTTTTTTTATATCAAATTTAAATAAATAGATTTTAGAAAATAAAAAAATAGAAAAAAATAAAGATATATCCAATCATTCTCTCTAATTTTTTAAGAAAAAATAAAAAATATTTTTATCTAAAATATCCTATATGAATTTAAATTTATCAATGATAGTAATATTTTTAAACCCATAAAATTTGTGTACTATCATAGATATGGGCTATAAATAAAAATAAAGATATGGATTTAAACTAAACCTGCAATGATAAAATGCTATAAATATTTTATTTTATACTTAAAAGTTGTGTACTATTATAGAGATAAATTTAAACCCATAAAAAAATATTTTTAGTTTCACCTTTTTTTTTTAGAAAGAATGATTGATATATATAAACCTTTTTTCTAGTGTTTTTTTTTTCAAAATTTATTTATTTAAATTTGGTAAAAAAAATCAAGACAAAAAAATAAAGTAGAAGGATGAGATTAAGATATAAAAAAATAAAATAATTTAACGCCGTTAGTCTAAAAATTAATGAAAGAATGCGATTAAGACAGAACAAATGTAGATGAATATGTGAACTTAAAAAAAAAAAAAAAATAGAAGAACATGATAAAAGAAAAAAAGAAAGAATAAGGAAGCCTATGCAACCATTAACCCAAATTAAAAATATATTCATAAAAAAACTAGCCATGGTTATTTTTGATCAATATGTTTGCTAATCATTACTGATCAACTGAGAAAATTAATTGGATGCACTCATGAAGCAATTTAAGCCAAAATTATCACAACACGGCACCATCTAGCTACCATTCTTCTTCTTCATACTCCTTTAATTTGAGGTTTAAAATTTAGGGTTTTAAATGTGGGTTGTAATCACGAATTGAATGTATGTGTTGTGTGTACGTAGAGATACTATTGAAGAGTTTGCAATTAATTGCCATCTGAAGGATCTGTATTGTACGTAGAATATTCTTGATGGTGGATATTATTACTTTTGAAAAATGTTTTTGAATTTTATTTACAATATTATTTGGAGAATACTGCCTTTTTTTGTAAAATTGAAATTCATGCTTGTACCATGCATCGAACTCCATAACTTTTTTCTTTTTTCTAGTTCAAGGATAAGCGTTTATTCACTCAATATATACTTTATGCATCACAACGCATTGAAGTAATCTTCAAAACGATGGAAAGTGTACCAACTTCTGTGCGATATATGTGATCACTCAAAATGAAGAATCATTTCGTACTTCTAAAACTTACAACTCCTTGTCCATGCAATCAAATAAGAGATTTCTTGGAATGGGCTCTAAAAATCCAGATTTATTCACAACAAAGTTTTGAGCAATTAGACGGGAATAATACTAAAACCATAGAAATAATGTCCTCTTTTGGCTGTTGGGGCAACCTAATTTGCACTTAAAAAAAGAAAAATGGTTACAAATTTTAAATTCAGAAATAGTTTATTTAATGGTTCGGGTGAATTGGAACTTCAATACTTTATCAAAGATAAAGGTACCATGGAGAAATTTCAAACTACAGTAGTAGAAGTGGAAGATTAATAAACCTATAAGGACAAAATAAAAAGCTTAACCTAGAGAAAAACATGATTGCAAATTTGGTCAGAGTTAGGAAAAGTGGAAAGATTAATTACGAGAAAAAAAAAATCCAAGATCCCTTGGCGAATGACCGAATAATTGATCATATTGTTACGAAAGCCAGCATTTGTTTGCTCAACTAAACATATGTGTTCTTTCTTAATTATTAAGGTCCAAACATCAAACTGAATTATGAGACGTAAATTTTTCATGAATTTTTTTGTCTTAACATGATTTTTTTTTTTAAAAAAAAGTTATTTGGGTTTTAACCGAATAAAAAAATAAATTTATTTTCAAATCGTAAAAGTTATACATATATATATTACCGAATAAAGTACACACATAACATCAAACATAACGATAAAAATGGATAAGAATGATCTTATTTTGTAAGATCATAGGCTGCAGAAACATATTTTCATATGCTGACATTAATGAAAATATTTACCACAAGTGTAATTAAGTGAATATTTTGTAAATATATGTTTTCATAAAAAACAATTACACACTTGTAAATATTTTAAAAATCATAGACAATAGATAATTCAGGTGATCAGTGTATGAGAACATATTGTAAGAACATGAACTCAAGCACTCACAATTACAAGGACGGTTTAGAAGTATTAATAAGTAATTGATGTGAGCGTGAGACAGCCTATGCCTGATCATAATCCATTACTATTTGCAAGTAATTAAGCATTTAAATTTGTGAAATCACCCCCTTCTTCTTAAATCATGTTATGCACAGTATGACCAAACTTTCTCCTTCCAGCATATGTTACCAGCTTGTCACTCTCGATTTCCCAATCTTGTTTGTCTGCAGTACCTTTGATTTATTATCCAACTATTTTTAGGTATTTTTCCCTTTCTCCAGACCACAGAGAAAAGAAGTCAACAGAATGTAATATGAAATTGTGCATGGACTTCTTCAGATTTTTTTTCTTTTTGATAGTGACCATCCATGGATGACATTATTTCGTTTGTTTATTGGGTTAATATTACTACAAAAGTGAGCAACTGTACTGACTCAAACAATCATACGAAATAAGTGAAGCAAGAATTTTAGATGAAATTTATGTCTTTTAATTGAGAGTCTCTGTGTGTGTCTGTATATATATATATATATATATATATATATATATATATATATATTTGATAAAAAAACATTTATAATTAAATTTTTTACATGTAATATTTTATCCTCAAATAAAACCAAAAAGTTACAAATGCCAAACGATAATATTTTGTAAAGAAATCATTATCTTAAACCAATCAGGTAGAGTGCATTTCATGATTTAATGGTGTCGTTGTCAATACATTTTAAAGCGTGTTTTGCAAAGTGTTTTTGCCTTAAAAAATACTCCCTCTATCCATTGCCCAACATTGGAAGAGACTTTTTTTTTTTCCCCGAAATAGAGTGCTTTTTAAATCTTTATTTTCATGATTTAAATCTTTATTTTCGTGATAAGATAGTTTTAATATTATTTACTATAATAGAGTAGTTTATGCCATCTAAATTCTATGAGGTATATATGTCATCATTTTTCTTAATCATTAGCCTAAGTAAAAAAATAATAATAATAATAAATAAAATGTTAAATAAGAAAAGAAATATGTCATACTTGATACTTGTATATTCTTATTCTTATCTACTTGCACGTTTTCCTAACTCCAAGCCTATGTTTCTATTTAAATATATGGTTTTTTTTTAAATAGAAAAAAAAAAAACAGTTTTCTTCTTTATTATGAATATATCTCCATAATTTTAGAAAACAATAATCATAAGAAAAGATGAATTTTTTCCTATTAAATTCAAACTCTTCTTTATTCAACTTTCATGTTTCTTACAGTTTATAACCAATAACTTTCTAAGATTTGGAGCCGTCCACATACCTAATACACATAAGTTTCATAAAATAAAAATAAAAATATGAACATCTAATTAAAACATGAATGTCCTGTTAAGTACTAACAAATACAGTTATTGTAAGTTGGAGATGCACGAAATAATGAGAATGAGAATTTCATGATTTGTCATACCCTACAACCATTACAAAAATTACCATGATTAAGCAAAACACCTTTAAGTTTATATTTTCTTTTTCATTATTGCCTAATTGGCTTGCGTCTTGCAATATATTAGAATAATTTAAAAACAAATTTTAATTATTTATGGTATTATTTACTTTTTTTTACACTAGTTTTACTCATTTTGGCGTTTTTTTTAAAACTAAAAAGGAATTTGTAAACATATTTCCAACTTAGCATAAAAACACAAGCTAAAAACTATAATGAAGCTTAGGGGGTGTTTGATAATCTAATTAAGTAGCTTAAAAAATTAAGTTGCACTACTTAATATAAAAATCTTGTTTGATAACTTAATTGATCTCATATTAAAACTTTAAATTTAGTTAAAATCTACTTAATCGGATAAGTTAAAATTTTTAACTTATTTGATTAAGTCAAACTATTTAAAACATACTCTCTCTCTCTCTCTCTCTCTCTCTCTCTCTCTCTCTCTCTCTCTCTCTCTCTCTCTCTCTCTCTCATATATATATATATATATATATATATATATATATATATATATATATATATATATCGAATTTATAAATTATAATAATATATTTTGAAAAATAAAATACTCATTTCAAAAGCATAAAAATAATTCATTATATAAATTATAATAATATATTTTTAAAAAATAAAACATCGACGTTATAAAATTTTATTCCAAAATTCATATATTAAAAAATTAAATTTATTAACAAATAAAATTATATCAAAAATTAATTTGATGAGAATTTTAGTAAGAAAAAAATAATTGAAAAAAATAAATTTTAAACAATAACGAGTAATATAATCGGATACATATGTTCAAACTAAAATCTTAAAAAATATCATATATATTCTATCATCTTCAAACATGCTTATTATATTCAGTATTTAATTTTTAGTAAATACCAAACAGACTTGTCGTGAACATATTCGAGTACTTAACAAATTCAAGCACTTAAAATTCGAGTACTTAATAGATTCAATACTTAATTTTCGGCTTTATCAAACACCACCTTAGCCTATACTTTGAAAAAAAATGATAATTGAGCAAATAAATCCCCATCCCATCAAACAAAAAAATGTCAAGCACTTGCATTTGAGATCGCAGCCCAGTGGTGAGGTTGAGGGTCGCTCACCGATGACACCGGGTTCGAATCTATCCGCACACGCATGTCACCCTCGTGGTGTCTTAGCCGCCCACCTGGGCTTGCGGGGTGTTCGGTGGGCTCGGGGATTAGTCGAGGTGTGCGCAAGCCGATCCGGACATCCTAAGTTATCCAAAAAAAAAAAAAAAATGTCGGCACTCGGGATTCACACATTTACACGACTTAAAAGATTGATTCAAAGCCAACAAAATCATATTGTTGGGCATTCCTAAAATTAGTTTTTTTTTTTTTAAAAGAAAGAAGTAAAAGAGAGAGGAATCCAAAATCCAATTGTTGGCATCATTTACATTTTCCATTTCTGTTTTTTTTTTTTTTTTTTTTACCTTGTTTTTTAGTTTTTTTTTTAATTAAAAATTTGTTTGATTGGTTATATATAGTTTTAATCGGATGCTTAAATTATTAGATCTCTAAACTCTTCGGCCTCAAAATTTGAGTGCTTCTTACTTGACCTCGGAGTAACATGAATCTAATCTCAACTTGAAACTTTAGAGCTCTGTACTCGGGCTTATTTTGATTCAACCTCCAAACATCTTAAATTTGGTTTCGATATGAATTTCAAGTGCCTTGGACCTGAACTCCAAACACTTGGTATCTAATAGTATCAAAACTTTCGAAAACCCTTTTTTTAGGTTTTTAAAACTTATGGTCAATTTTATGTTTTCAAAAATAAAAACCATAATTTTTTTTATGTTTTATCTTGAAAGATTTAAAAACAAAAACATAAAACATAAAAAGATACTAAACAACCTCTAATATATGTTAAAAAAAAAATCCACACGTTTATCAAACAACAAACAAACACCAAACAGATAAACAAAATAAAAATAAAAATGAGACTAGCAACAAAGACAACATTAATAGAGACCAAAAAAAGAAAAGAAAGAAACAGAAGAAAGTGGAGGTAAGTCAACTCTTTCCTTGTTAACAAAAGAACGCCGTTACATCCGGGATGCATACCATACCTTCCTTCCTAGTACTACCCTTCCTTAATCCTAACCACCTTCGTTTAACCATAGTTAAATTAACTCTCTCTTTTCTTGAATTTAACTCTCCCTGTCTCTCACATCGTACCCTGTTTTTTCTTCTTTCTGTTGCTAGTCATAGATAAATAAAGAATCAGAGAAAAAGATCCTCTCTCTAAAAATCCACTTCCTAAATAACGGCGTATCCCCTCTTTTTCTCTCCTGCATATCTGATTTTGCTTCTAACAGCGATAAAGATTCATTTCCATCGACTAAATTATGTCCAGATTGTAGAGAAATATAATTTTTTTTATAATATTTTTACAAGAATTTGGAGGTTTTTCTTTTGTTTTGAGGAATGGTGGTGAAGATGATGAGGTGGCGGCCATGGCCACCTTTGGTTTCGAAGAAGTACGAGGTGAGGCTTGTTGTTCGAAGGATGGAGGGTTGGGATCTAGGGCGGGAAGCTGTAGCTTCTGCACCCGTGACATCGTCAGGAGGTGATTTGAAGGACAAGTCGGAGAAATTGACGGTGGAGATTAGGTGGAAAGGTCCCAAATTGGCCTTGAGTTCGTTGAGGAGGACAGTGGTGAAGAGAAATTTTACGAAAGAAGTGGAGGTTTTTGGTGGTGAAGGGGAAGGTGAAAACGGTGGCGTTATGGTGGAGTGGGATGAGGAGTTTGAGAGTTTGTGTACGTTGTCTGCTTATAAAGAAAATGTGTTTCATCCTTGGGAAATCTCTTTCACTGTCTTCAATGTGAGTTTTTGTTTTCTTTTTACCTTTCTATAGAAATTTAATTTTCTTTTCAAGTTCTTTTATGGTTCTTTTGTGTTATTTTCATTTATCAAGAGGGATGTTGTCTTCTTGTGTGCTGCAATAGAAAAAATAAATTGTGGGTTTGCTGCAGAATCTAGGAGAATTTGTGTGGACTATGAAATGGCTAGCATTTACAAAACTTGGGGTTTGAATTTTTTTTTTTTTAAATTTTGGGATGAATTTAAAATTCATTTTTGGTGTTTAGTTACTGTTAGTAATTGGACATGAAGTGGTTTTTTAATTGAAGAATATAAGCATGTGAAGGCTGTTCTTTATGTTTTCATGTTAGTGATTTTTTGTTTTGTGGGTTATTTTGGTAGTCAATTTGGTGGATCAGAGGATCTTAATTGATCTTTAAGGAATGTAGATGTTGGATTTAGTAAAGTATTTTTTTCTTCAATTTCGCTTGATAAAGCTTGGGGCTATCGGATATCTTGGAGGTTTCTTGTCTGATGGTTTTGTGATTTCGAAACCTTCTTTTGAGGAGATTGCTTGGAAATGGTTTTTTATTTGACCTTATGAAACTAGTTTCTTTGATTGTTTGGATTGATTTGGAACAACCCTACTTTTGCTAGAGCTTGTTAACTTTGTGAGGAACTTAGCTGTTTTGTTTTCTGATCCAGGGTGTGAACCAAGGGCCAAAGAACAAGGTTCCTGCTGTTGGAACAGCAACAATGAACCTTGCTGAATTTGCTTCTGCAGCTGAACAGAAAGAGTTTGAGTTAAGACTTCCTCTTATGGTTTCTGCTGGTGGTTCGGACCCTCACCCTTTGCTCTGTGTATGTGCCTTTGAATTTCTTCCATGTCCATCTCATTCTTATGGTTTTTGAAAATCATCCCGCAACATGTTTAATTTGGCTTTTCTGTCTTTGCTATTTAAAATCGTCGGCTTTTTCTGGTGGTTTTAATAATTTCTCAATTTTATAGTTTCGTATTCTTGTATGAATCATGCAGGTAGCACTCAGCTTATTGGAGTTGAGAACTGCTCCTGAGACGTCTGAGCCAGTTCAGAGAGCTATAGTACCCATTCCATCACCACCTCAATCTGGAGAAGCTGTCTCAACTGAAAAGGATGAGCTTTCTGCAATTAAAGCTGGTCTCAGAAAGGTAAAGATTTTTACAGGATATGTATCTACCAGGAGAGCAAAAAAGGCCTGTCGTGAGGAAGATGGCAGTGAAGGCAGGTTCTCTGCAAGGAGTGAGGATGGTGAGGATAACTATCCATTTGACTCTGAGTCACTAGATGATTTGGAGGAAGGAGAATCGGATGAGGTCAAGGAGGATTCTACTGTGAGGAAGTCATTCAGTTATGGCATGCTGGCTTTTGCAAACTATGCTGGAGGATCCTCTGTCTCTAGCACAAGGATAAATGCGGAAGATGAAGATTGGGTTTACTACAGCAATCGCAAGTCAGATGTGGGTTGCTCACATAGTGATGATTATACTCCATTGGTCTCTGCGCCATCTATCTTGCAAAGTTCTAAACGCAGCATATTACCTTGGAGGAAGAGGAAGTTGAGCTTTAGGTCTCCTAAAGCTAAAGGAGAGCCATTGTTGAAGAAGGCATATGGAGAAGAAGGTGGGGATGATATTGATTTTGATCGCCGACAGCTTAGCTCTGATGAATCTCTTGCTCTTGGGGTAAGTCATGTGTTGATTTCCTTTATTTTCCTATATTTTAAAACTGATAATTTCCAATTTAGCTGTATTAAAAAAGTACAAGAATAATTCCTTTCATAAATTAGACAAAGTTCATAATTGAAATTTGAAACAATGGTAACTGTTATGCAGTGGCATAAGCAAGATGAGGATACATCTGCAAATCGATCATCAGTATCTGAATTTGGTGACGACAATTTTGCCATAGGCAGTTGGGAGAAAAAAGAAGTGATAAGTCGTGATGGACAGATGAAGCTTCAAACTGAGGTTTTCTTTGCTTCCATTGATCAGCGAAGTGAGCGGGCTGCAGGTGAGAGTGCCTGCACAGCCCTTGTTGCTGTTATTGCTGATTGGTTTCAGAATAACCGGGGTCTCATGCCCATTAAGTCCCAATTTGATAGTCTCATCAGAGAAGGGTCTTTGGAATGGAGAAACCTCTGTGAGAACGAAACCTACAAGGAGCGGTTCCCTGACAAACACTTTGACCTTGAAACAGTTCTCCAAGCCAAAATACGTTCCCTTTCTGTCGTCCCTGGCAAGTCCTTTATCGGGTTTTTCCATCCAGAGGGGATGGATGAGGGAAGATTTGATTTTTTGCATGGTGCCATGTCCTTTGATAACATTTGGGATGAGATAAGCCGCACTGGATTGGAATGTCCAGGCGATGGTGAACCTCAGATTTACATTGTAAGTTGGAACGACCATTTTTTCATCCTAAAGGTTGAACCAGAAGCTTACTACATTATTGACACATTAGGAGAGAGGCTCTATGAGGGATGCAATCAGGCCTACGTTTTGAAATTTGACAGCAACACTATTATTCATAAGTTGCCAAATGCTGCAGAATCATCTGATGAGAAAACAATGGGTGATCAGCAGAATGTGCCAGCTGCTGTGGAATCCAAGGATCAGCAGCAGGTGAGCCTGAAAGAGGAGGAGGCTTCTATATCATGGGCAGTAGTAACCAAGCCTGAAGAACTAACTAAAAGAGAGGATCCATTAAAGAGTGAGGAAGAAGGGGAGGTTGTGTGCCAAGGAAAGGATTCTTGCAAGGAGTACATAAAGAGCTTCTTGGCTGCAATTCCAATCAGGGAACTGCAGGCTGACATCAAGAAAGGTTTGATGGCATCAAAACCTCTTCATCATCGGTTGCAGATTGAGTTCCACTACACCCAGTACTTGCAACCATTAACTGAAACTCACGCGGCAAATATGTTGATAGCACTACCACAATCAGTCAATGCTTCCATATCAGAGGATGCTGTTTAGAGACTCAATGTAAATTTTAGGAAGTGTGATTAGTCATATAGTCTAACTAAAGTTTCATTTTACAAATGGCGATCTTATCATGTGAATGGTATTAACAAAGAGGGACCTTTTTCAACTTTTTGATATGTTTGAAGATAAAAGGGTCGTGTTGTGTTTCTTCTAATCTGGTCTTCAAATGGAGCTATCGTTACTTTTACCCTTGTTTGCACATAGTTGTTGAGCTTGGTGGAATTTGGCATAATCTGTCGTTTATTCTTTGAGCAACCTTTATTGGATTGGCTGCTCCTGTGCATTGCGGTAATCTCTCGCTTTCTATTGAATGAGCTCCAACTTCTCACTTTTTAAACTTTTTTGCGATTCTCAAAATATTCTCCTTCTAAGAGTAAATGCAACTTTTGTAGATGGTGTATAAATAGTCTTCAACTGTTCTGCAGCCTCTTTCTGATGGCAATTTTCCATACGATCTAGTGATAGCAATAATCTGACCCCTTGAGATTTTTCATTAAGAAAGGTTCTGTAACAACTAATTCGATTGGAACCAAATACTACTTTCCCCTGTGCTGTGTAAGCTGTAAAGAGGAACTTTTCAAGATTGGTATTAGAAGACATGAAAAGATTCTTTGAAATGCACGTTCCTTTTCTAGATAAAAATCCAGCCTAAAGCTGCCTCCTTTAGCTTCCCAACAAGCATGTGTGATGTATACAATATATCATCATGCTGCGTGGATGGGAAAGGGTTTTCTATAGAATTCCTACCCCATGCACGTTCAGGATATAACCTTCCCATAACCATCATTTGGATTATTCCTTTGAGCAAGGTATGAAACATTTCGCTTTCATGTATAACATCTAAAATGCTGAATGGATTCGAATAATCTCACCAAGGTTTTTTTGAAGAAAGTGAAAATGTTGACTATGCATTGTATTTCATTGCTAGGATACAAAAGGATTTATATAATATTTAGTAGTTAATGTTGCTCAAGTTTAGGTAATCACTTTCTACGATTGAGATTCTAGGATAATTTTCTTTCCTTTATTTTTGGCCAAAATTCAGTTTAAAATTAATGAAAAAGTGATTACGATAGATACGTTTTTTAATGTTGATGATGAGAAGCTCTTTCAGCTTGTCAAATGAAGAATGAAATTCTCCATTCGCTTGTTGCGGTTTGGGTAAGCATGACGCTGTTAATTTTTTATTGATTCCTTCCGTTTTGAATAGTAATCATGATGGTGATTATGATGGGATGAGGATGTTGATCACAATGAATACTTCTAACTTGTTCCAGCAAATTTTTTTTTTTCCACAGAAATAGACCGAGCTTGCATTTTTTACAATTTGACCATATTATAAGTTAATAATTAAGATACACTTATGCGGAGGAATTTGCAGGCATTAGAAGGCTGATAAAATGTTAATAACTTGATTAGTTCATCTGCTTCCTGCAGAACCATAATCATGTTGCAAAAACACGCTACTTGCGGCCTTTCATTTTGAAGTATTTATAATGCAATTTGCCTCAGCCTGTGACCTCTTTGTTAACCTTCCTGGTAGTAATTTTATGATCACGTCAAGGGACAGAAGCAGCCTTAAACCATGACTGTAGCTCTGCAAGCCAACGAAGTCTCAAGTTGAATGATAAACACAGGTTGGTTTAGGCCCACCATTCAAATACGGGAAGTTACAAAGATGGGAAAAAGAACTTTGAAAAATAACATCATGAACTCAAATTTGAGCAAGTTTCAGGCTATTGCACATGAGACAATGGCCCACTTCAACAAGTAGGTTCAGTATTTGACTGGTGAAAATGGGCCTTCTTCAAGGCTGATTGCTGGCTCTAAAGTTTCTCATGAGCTCAGCTTTTAGCTTTGCAGAGACCCTGCCCCAGTACCGGTCCCAGCAGGGTTTCAATTTTTCGAATCATGATCTAACCTTCTAATTTGCGTAAACCTAGTACAAGTTATGTTCTTGCCATCTGCTTGATGCAACAGTACATTTGATGCTCTAACTGAAGCCGTTAACTTAGAAAATCTTTTTGATGGAAGTGTGTGTGTATAATCAGTTTAAATGTCCTTATTTAAACATTTTCGTTTGTTTCCTGCCTATTTTACTTTGAATTATCCTGTACTTGTGTAGAATAAGAATACATGTACACGAGCACCACACCCGGACACTTCAATTCAAATCAAGGGACAAGCTAAGAGAATTCAGTCAAGAGTTAGACTCTTGGGTCCTGATCGTGCGTACAAGTTCGATACCAAGGTTTGATATATTACCTATATGCAGTTCAATTGTCCCCACTTTTTTTTTTCACATAATTTGACAGAAAGCACGAAATGAACTGCTGGTAGCCCTGATTTAACAATGCAAAAAAGTGGTGTTGCTCATGATAAAAGGCCTTAGGCATGAAAGGATCATAATGAGCTCACATTTTCCTTTATTGTACCAAACTGCCTTTTGTTACCAACCGGTGACTTTTACTTATGATATTTGGGAGAGCCATGTGCATGTTCTCCCTCTCCCCAACCCATTATTATTCCAAACTTATCTTGACAATGATTCAAGCTCAAATCCACCAGGCTCCACACCCCATATAATTCCACCTTGAATAGATTCTTTCCCATATTCTCGTCACCCTTCCCTTCTTGCTTCCTGAGGTGTCCTTTTCATTGTCGTAGAACATTATAAGTCAACATTATTATCCAAAAGATGTCTTCTAAAACGAAGCTCATGTCTAATATTCCACTAAATATCATTGCCCTACATTATCATATCATAATACAGTCCCTGCAGAGAAGAAAAAGAACCCTCACTTGAAACTTCTGTAACAATAGAATAACTGTTTGGTCTGTCTTTGCAATTTAATGCATCATCTATTTCCAATAATTATACATACAACAACCTGTAGCCTTTAGCATAAACAACAAAGAAAAGGCAACAGAAGTTGCATATGACAAAAGAATCAACCATGTCTTTCAGAAAGAAACGACAGCCGGATTTGCAGCAACAAATGGTCAATTCATATCTTTTTCTATACTTTCAGGACATCCAAAACAAATGCAATCAATATATGTCCAATTTTTTTAACCACACTATATTTCCTTTTTATGACTCAGAAATTGCCACTGAAGTTTAAATGAAGGAAAATGTTAGAGAAGATAGAAAAACAAGACAAAAATAGTAAGCAAGGAAATAACAATAGATTTTCTGCACCAGAAAGGGCTTTTAACTAACTACACTATCACATGCACCCAGGACAATTAGTATTACATTTCGTTATGTCCTCCAATCTTACAAATAGACCTAGCATCTGGCACGGCAACTGAAGCACCAGAATTCTATCCAAGCAATGTACAAGTTACAAGATAGTCCGATATCAAACTGAAGAAACAGTTAGGAAGATGAAAAACAGTACAAAATCAAGAAAGTGATTTAGGACAATAGCTAGACTTTCAGCTGCAGATGGGGCATTTAACCAATCCATTTTCATTACATTCAGGGCATCGAATGTACTTCTCATCATTCCGATCATCTGCAAAGACCTTACAACTGCCATTGCAATTGGAGCAAACAACAAATCGCATGTTACCGCAACCAGTGCAAGGGCAGTTAGACAGGTTGAGCGGTATATCTACCAAGAGATTCTTCAGCTTACCTTGCTCGTGCAAGCCAATCACTTCGTCAGCTCCTCCTATGTACCTTCCCTTTACGAAAAGCCTTGGAGGAATCACTCTGCCACCCAGTAAACTCCATAGTTCCTCCCTGAATTCCAAGTGCAAAGAAACATCTCTCTCGCAGAACATTACTTTAAAACTTTCCAACAAAAACCGAATAGCGTGACAATCCTCAAATGTCTTTCTTATACTTCTCAAGCTTGTTGTGTAGAGAATTACAGACTGACTTCCTCCTGGAAGACATTTCTCTTCAAAATCCGATAGAGATGGATGTTCATCGATCTCTTTCTCAGCTTTATGTCCTGTGTCTTGCTCCATGCTGATCTCTTTAGAGACTGGAGCGTCAGGACTATCCATGGCAGGTACTCTGTCATTGGATGCTATGCAGGGTGTGATGTTCACCTTGTCGAAGAAATTAAGTTCCAAATCCAGTTCTTCATCTTTTGATTCTGTTTGGTGCTTTGATGCACCAAAATTGCCAGCTAAACAGTCTTTCTTGTGATCTTCTTGTATGAAAATTGGTGGTATCTGCAAGTTCTGGTAGGAAAGCTTTTCTGTGGAGTTCAGATGGGAAACTATACCTTGTTTCAGTGTGCTTACACTTGGAATGAAATTTAATTTCTTTAGGAATCTTCCCTTCATTGATTTCATTTCTTTTGCTTGTCTGCTCACAAAATGGATGGCATGTGATCGCAAGCAATTGAAGAGGGAAGGGTGAATGTTATTTGAGAATGACTTATGAAGAGACTGAGTACATGAGGCAACACTAGAGGTTTCTCTTTTGGTTTCCAGTGGCACAAAAGTGGAAAGCTGAAAAGCTTTGTGTGGGTAATGGATTGCTTTTTAAAGTTATGAATTGATCACTGCACGGATTGTGGGGGATACGTGGTGTCCCAAGTAACCCTTTCATCAGAGGGCACTGACCCTTTACCAACAATTTGGTGTCTGGTCATGGTATGAAGAGCAAGACCTAAAAAAAAGTGTGAATGGATGTGAATTTCGTTTCAACCACTGGATGACAAAGGTAGCTCTGCATGATTTATCTACTGGGCACTTATGCCCTCAATACCTTATTGTGGCACCGTTTGATAGGTGGTGGAGCACCAATGCACAAAGTTTTAAAGGAGTAGAACTCAACCCATTCAGACAACGCGAGCCAACGTCCAAAATCATGTTCAATAACAAGGAAAAGCATGGATTTAACGACAAAAATTGACTCTCTTCTATTGCAATTTCACACTTTATTATTAATTTGTATAATTTAAATCCTAAAATATTATTTTTAACTAAATATTATTCCAATCCTCTTTTCTCGGTTATCTATAACGGTTAACCTAATTGATCGTTAAACAAAATACTTAAACGACGTTGTTTAAGAATTTCATTGTTTTTTTCTTGCGATCAATTTTTTAACAAAAAAAATTTAAAATTGCTTAGATAAAGATAGATTTCAGATTCTTTAGATTGCTTGAATTTAATTTTTTTTTTACTAATGCTTTTCTTCTATTTTTCAAGAGATTTTTTTTTATCTCGTTTATCTATAAATAAAAAACAATTCATTAAATTTATTACTAAACTTTCTTTTGGTTATCCCTAAAAAAGAATTTCACTTTTTGAACCTATTTTTAAAAAACTAAAAATAAAATAAAATTTTTAAAAAAATTAAAAAATGGTTTTCTAACTTAACAATTTTAAATGCATATTATATATTTGAATCAATTGTAAGAATACAAAATCCTGTAAAATATGTGAAGATAACAAGTATATCAAATAAATATAACTATATTTAAAATTTAATTATTGACCATCACAAGAATAAATTTATTGGCTTGGCAAAAGAAAATTTTAGTTAAAATTAATTATTTGATAATTTCAATCGATCAAATGTAACCAATAGATATTTGTATTTTATTAATTACAGAATTTGATTGTTTTAATAGATAATGATACTATATAAAAGATGTTTTTTAAAATTAAAAAAAAATTATATACAAATAACAATTTGATTGACTATGAAAAATAAAAGAGATTACTATGTGAAAATTTTAAATAGAAAAAATTAAGTTATAATTACATTAAAAAAATTAGAATAAGTTTTTTTTTAAAAAACTTAATAGTAAAATATTTAAACGACGTAGTTTAAGCATTTCGCTTAATGGTCAACTAGAATGATCATTACAAATAATGAAAAAAAAATTTGGTTAACATTCACCAAAAAAACCAATATATTGAGATTTAAATTACATTAATTGATAATAAAAATATAAAATTATTAAATTACAATAGAACAATAACAATTTTTGTCATAAAATGAAAAAAAGTGTTTCAGGACCTGCAAACCATTTGTAGTGGATCAGAACAAAACCCGATTGAAATTAATGGGCGGCTGTAATAGGAACCATTCGTGCAAAGTTGAAAGGAAATTTCAAGGTTTTAAAAAACTGAACTCACAAACTCCATGCAATAGTCAATAATTGGTAATATCAAGTTAGAGGAGATAGAATCTGGACTGAAACATGATGACTTGCATAGCCAATTCTTCGACGGACACATACATTACACAGCAAAGGCGAAGGCACCCGAGTCCTTAACTGTCAAAGTCACATTCCCAAAGTTTAGATCACAGCAATCCCATTTTTCTTTTTCTTGTTTGCTCTATAGTTTTAAGCCAAGAAGGAAGGTCTCGTCAACAATGCGCAAGAAATTAGTGCAGACAAAATTTGTGTGCGCTTTTTATTCGAGTTTCCGGCTGCTACTTCTAACCACACTATGAAGCTAAGAGCACAAGGGAAACGTAACAACACTATGTTTTAAGAGATTCGATTGCAGTGATTAGCCTTTTCAATTAAATGAGAAAATAATTCAAGTTCTACATGACATATTTCAAGAGGAGGGAAAGGAATTAATGTTCTGTGATAGACCAATTTGGTCCATGAAGTCATTAATAATTAATTAGTGAATTCGAGAAGTCCCTTGCTCAATGCATGTGTTCTTTTCCAGTGTTTATAAATAATTAGTTATGTAACCTTTCAAGTTCGAAGGAGAGGTTGGGTATGCAATTGAGCAATTCCTGTTCAAAAAGAATTTCGTATTGAACATAATTTCAAAATTTATTCGTTATATCTTATTCATATTATCCTTAACCCATTGATCATGTGAGATACGAGGCATCATATTTTCCTCCTATAAGTCTGCGACGTCCTCGTCCTGTATCTCCATCATAGCTCAAGATTGAGCTCTAGACAATACAGGATTCTAGAGGTGCCTCCTTCAGCTTCAAAAAGTGGCTTTCATCCATTCCAAAAATATAGCAATTTATCCCTATAGCACTTGATTCTTACATTGGATAAGATCTACTCGATTATCATTTATAACGCTCTAATATTGTCATTTTAAATGACCATACAAAAGACGGGGTCAACGCGATATTTCAACTATAAAAATATAAATAAATGTGCAATCACAATATTATTAGTAATATGCTAATTTCATCAACTTTTATTTCATGTTTATTCTCTTCAAACAATCCAAAAACATCGGTTGACTCTAAGAGAACAATAAGCTGGAACTCTAGGAGATTTACATTTATCATTCACAAAACCCACATCAAGTAACTTCCTTTAATTTAAGGCGTTTATAACGATGACGTTTAACAATGTTAGTGTCTTCATGTTAGATCCATTGACACGAATTTAAAAAACTGAAAATTAAATTTGTAATGGGACAGCAAACAAAAGATGAGTGAAATGTCAATTCGTAGTGCATTCAATGTGTTTGCTTCCGTTTTAAGGACATAATTAAATATATAGTTTCACTTTTAACGTCAACACTGCAACGCTACACATAGTTTGGCCTCGTATAGGAATCGTTTGGAAGCCTGTTCATTCGAGGTTTTTCTTTTTCCCCCAAAAAATACCCTTATTTATCATTATATAATATATTTATTTTTCAAACTGTTTCAAAAAAAAAAAAAACCCGTTTTCAATATTTTCTTATATTTTGAGCTAAAAAAAGCATTTTTAATATTTTTTTATATTTTGAGCTAGTTTCTAATCTGTCTTTTTTGTCAAAACTTTCGATCAATTTTTAAAAATTAATCTTCATATGATAGAAATAAATCACTTATACCAATAACAAATTTTTTTTTATCAAATCACATATTATATGAAAATCACATACTTAATTTATGATGAGTTGGTCTGAAATTTAATTAAAAGAATAAATAATAAACCAACTCAAAATATAAGAATATATTGGAAGAGTTTTTTTTTAAGGACATATTGAAAAATTAACTTATTATATAAGAACAAGTGATGATATTAACATTTTTTGTTTTAATAAAAGATGTTTTTTTTTCTTATTATGTAAATTGAGGAATGGTTAGAGTTAACCAAAATAATAAAAAAATGTTTTTTTTAATAATATTGTCTGTTTGGTATACATATAAATTGTAAATATCTCACAATAAAAATAAATAGAAAATCAGATGCTTATATATAAATAGATTTATAACCCATTAGTTTAGATGAGTTTTTGAATTAATATTAGTGTCTATTTTTATGCGTTAACCCATATGAATGTTAAACTGTTGCAAGGTACCTGTTTTTTAACTTTTATATATAAAATAAATATTTCAACTCAAACTCTCTCTCTCTCTCTCAAACTATAATTTATTGAGATTAGTTCTGCACGCTACCCAAATTTCCACGCTGAAAAGTCAATCTTCGAAGCACTTGACTATTGGACACCACAACGGTAAATACAACAGAAGCAGTATCCTCCTCATCGTCTTGTCTAGAAACTAGAAAATAGTAGATGAACTGTATCTTTAGCCTGCAGAATGCAAATATTGACAGAGATATGATATTAATTAATGGAGATAATTGTAAAATTTCTTTCATTCTGCTCAATGTCGTTATATTGCATCACAAGCGTTATTCAACATATAATTTCGGGGTTGCTTAAAATAATTATCCCTGACATTGAATTCACTTATCGTCTCCTTAATTAAGCCAAAATTAACAGGAAGACATTTTATATTAGATAAACAAAAAATGAGTGATAATATAAAATTGAAAAGTGATTATCTACTATAAATCTTAATTTTTTTAAAATCAAATTTAATTTCAACTATCTGATTTTATATAGTATGAGAAGTTTAGTAACCCAACAAAACCTATGGAGTTCGAGTGGGATACTGCACCTTGTTTCACTGGGTTTAATGAAACTCAATTTCTTTAGGAATCTTCTCTTGATTGATTTCATTGCTTTTGCTTGTCTGCTCACAAAATGGATGGCATGTGAAGGGTGAATTAATTTAATTTGTTTGAGAGAGACTTATGAGGAGAGTACACCACATGCATGAGGCTGCAGTAGGAGTTTCTCTTTTGGTTTCCAGTGGCACAAAAGTGAAAAGCTTTGTGTGAGTAATGGATTGCTTTTTAAAGTTATGAATTGATCACTGCACAGATTGTGGGGGATAGGTGGTGTCCAAAGTAACCCTTTCATCAGAGGGCACCCTTTACCAAAAATTAGGTGTGTCGTCATCGCATGAAGAGCAAGACCGCCAAAAAAAAGTATGAATGGGTACTGTGCTTTTCGTTTCAGACCACTGGATGACAAAGGTACGTAGCTCTGTATAATTTATCTTCTGGGCACTTATGGTTTCAATACCTTTTTGTGTCATGGTCTGATAGGCCGTGGAGTATCGAAGCAGAAAGTTCTGAAGGAGCAGAATTGAACCCATGTAGACAAGGTGTGCCAAAAGTTCAATAACAAGGAAAAGCATGTTTCAAGAATGAAGCTTCTAATTCATACACACACACACTCTTATTAACTCCGCTAACCATTCCAGTGCATCAGAATAGAAACCCGTTTGTAATTTATGGGTGAATATATAGTAGGAATCACTCCTGCAAAGTTGAAAGGAAAATTCAAGGTTTAAAAAATTAAAAGATAAATAGGTCAATCTATTTAAATATAATAGTTTGAATTTATAATATGTTCTGTATTAGTTGCATTTATTATGTTTTTAAATATTATTTTAGTCTTAAATTTGTCTTTTTGATCATTTTTTCGATCTATGTTCTATATTAATTATATTTATGTTTTGGCATATTATTCTAGTTTTTAATCTGTCTTTTCGATAAAATTTTTGATCAAAATGCTTATGATTGAAATACAATACATATATATAACTCAAAACCGCATGTTACATTTTTAAAATCTTTATTTATTTTTGTATTTCAAAGAAGATTATTTTTAAAAAAAATTATTTATGATTGAAAAAATTGATTGAAATGACATATTAAAAATTTATATATTATTTATGAACATAATAAATATAATTAAAAATATTAAAAAATATTAAAAATTCAACTAATATATAACAAATTAAGATATTCACCTAAAACTTAATTAAAAAAAGTCCATGCAAATTGCATGCAATACCCGCTAAGCACCAGTGATCAAGTTAGAGAAGGAATTTAGAGAGAAGCATGATGACTTGCATATCTAATTCGTCGACGCGCACACACATCACGTAGCAAAGGCTAAGGCACCCAACCCAAGTTCCTAAAGTTTTGATGGCAACAATCCAAGAAAAGAAAAGAAAAAAATCGGCCCATATAGGTCTGTTGGGTGGGTATCCAGGATTTGAAATATAAAAACTTTTGTTGGTTATATGGGAAGATCTATCTTTAGAAAAGAACTAAGATTACGTAGAAGTCCCGTTTAGCCATTTTTATTATTATTGTTTGATTAGAAGGATGAAAAAGTTCTAGAAATTACAAACGAATTGTTTTAGGAAAAACAATCTATCAAGGTCTTCTAATAAAAGTCTCAAACATGCAATAGGAAATACTGAATTGTTTTTATGACGGTGATTTGAGATAAAAATGGTGAAAAGAGAGTTTGAGTTTGGTACGTCAAAGACTTAGAAAAGGGGCCTGATTATGTGGTGACCATACAATCACCAGAGAAGTTAAAAGTGGGCTTGTGTAGTTGCATCTTCAGCCAGCTTTTTATTTTTTATTTTTATAGAAAAGTGAGGCTATTGCCCCTAACCCAAGCTCGCGAGGCTTAGGTGGCCAAATACCAAGCACGCAGGCCTGGAGCACACAAGCCGAGTTTTCATTTTTGTTTTTATAGTTTAATTTTTTTTTTTTTGCCAAATTATTAAAATTGATTATTATATTACCTTTTCAGCGACACCCTTACGGATTAAAAGAATGGTTTTTAACGAAATATATCCTAGATATTATCATAAATATTTTGTTTGCAAAACTTCAAATGTACTATTAAACATTAAAATACTAATCAAGCACAAAAATTGAAATAATATTTATTTAAGTTTAAATTAGAGTTAACATCATAACATGTCAATAACACATGAAAAATCATGATTACTGGTGAATTGAGACCTCTTATTATTAATAAATTTTTCTACTTAATGTCTTATTAATATTAAAAATATGTTTTACTCATGAAATATTAGAAAAAAAAATTTGTCTATAGTGTTTGGAAACCATCAAATGATTGGAAGAGATAAATCGAAATAAAAAAGAATTAAATTTTATTTTTTTAATGTGTATTAAAATGATTTTTAAAGTTTTAAACAAGTTTATTGATCTCATTTCAGTTTTTTTAAAGTGTCTTGGAGTAAAATTGAAGCATAGATTGATATTTGATTTTCAATTAAGGTTTCAAACGAGAAGATAGCACCCCCCCCCCCCTCTCTCTCTCTCTCTCTCTCTCTCTCTCTCTCTCTCTCTGCAATTTTTTTTATTATTTTTTGACTGATTTTGTGCTAAATTGATGTGAAAAAAATCCTTTTTTTTTTCATGTAACTTGGTCATTAAAAATATATATTTGCGTCATTTTTATGGAAACATTCAATTAATTTTTTATATAATTTTATTTATTAAAAAAGTATGATTTTTTTTAATGTATGGATTTTTGAATAAAATTTTCGAATGTGATTTTTTTTTGTTATGAAGCACATTAATATAATTTATATGATAAATTCTTATGATTTTTAAATGAGACTATATATATACACCATTGGTTTTATTAGAACTTAACTATGCATCTACACATAAAACCAACCATTTACTATTATTTTTTTCTTCGTTTGGATATTTTAAATTTAGTTTCTTTCGAATAAAATAATTAAAATAATATTTTTTAAAAAACCATCCAATAATTGAAATAGAGGTTTTTAATGTTATATTGTTGATTATTTTGTGATTCAATATATATACAAATTAAATGTATGTGCTTCTTTTCATTAACATTAAATAAGAATAAAAATTTATATTCACATTTGTTGTTTTTTAAACAAGTTTTTATAGTAATTGTTACTTTAGTTTTTTTATACAACCTTATGAAAAAGATATTAAGTTTTTTTTAAAAAAAATTGGATTTAATTTTCTATTTAAATTGTTGTAGTTTCTTATTTAAGAATCAATACGTACAAAATAATAAATTATTTCTTTTTCAGTTGAAAAAATTATGAAAAATATAAGAAATGATCAATTAAATAAAATATTTTGATATATTTTAGTTTATCCGCAATATAACACTAGGTATTGGATTAAAATGATTTCATTATATCTAATCCACAGTCGTAGCACAGTGCTAGCAACAAACTAATATTTAACTAAAATAAATACTTAAAACTTAATTCTTCGTCAATTTAACTTGCATGATTAAAAAATATTTTGTACTCATAAACTATTAAAAAAGCAATAAGGAAAAACATTGAAGTGTCGTTTGGTTATCAAGAATAAAAGTCCTGAAATGAGAATGTAGAAATCAAAATGAAAATTAAGGAATTAGAATGACATTTGTATTTTCATATTATACTTGAAATACTAACGAAGAATTAAAATGCAATTTAAATTTTTTAATATCCGATTGTTTATATAAATAAAAATAATAATTAAAAAATAATTTTATCTAAGTATAATAGTTGTAAAAGTGATAAAAGTGATGGTGGTAGTAGTGGTTATTGTGGTGGTGGTTATGACGGTGATGATTCCGGTGATAGTGGTGGTGATAATGGTGATGGTATTGGTGGTATTAAAAATAGTTAATAAACAATAAATAAATAAAATATATTATTATTTTTTAAAAAAATTCATTCTCATTCTTTATTTTTATTTCCAGGTCTTACATGAGATTGAAGTTATATTTAAATTTTCATTTCCATTCTCACTCGTCATTGCCATTCTCATTTCATTATTTTTAACCAAACAGCTACAACGTAGAAATAAAACTTTCATTCATATTTTCATCATTGTTCCTAATTACCAAACAGCAACTAAAGGCCTTTGAGATGCACCTCAGCGCAAAAGAATTGCAAAACCGTGCCATCCAATGAATTTAAGGTGTGCAATTTAATAATTGTGTAGTTAATTAATTATTAAATATTTTTGGTTCTCGTTCACTTCTTCCTTTAATATGGTTTTTGCAACAGAACGAAGCAGCAGCTATTAGCAATCATAAATTGGCTTCTTCCTTTAAATCGATAAATGAATTTAAACTTTCAATAAACTTGAGGTAGTAAATATGGCAACAGCCAGTCATGGCAAATCCAATATCTCAACATAATTCTGATGGGTTGGGATCCATGTCTAACCTAATTATGTTAGGAAAAATAGCATTGGCAGTATGTTTTTATGGTCAAAAATCAAAACGGGCGTAATGCCCCAATACAAGTGAACCCAGAGAATGCAACACCCACACCCCTAATCTTTTCCCATTTCTCAGAAAGCAGTTTGCAGCATGTAATTCAATCTGCAAGGCCCTGGGGTCTCAAAGCACACCGTAGAATCAATATTTGCATTACAGGCTAGAGTTAAATCGGCACATGCATAGCAAAATAATCCATATTTTCACGTTATTCATTCATAGATGATTTAATTCTCATCGGTGAACCAGTCATTTTGCACCAAATATGTAGTCGTTCCTTCAACAATGACCACAACATCATATTTATTCCCCCCACCTACATTTGTGCACAATGGCACAAGTTCTGAATCAATAGTCATCTGTTTCAAAAAGACATTAACTATCATCCTGCAATCATACTGCATAAAAGGGCACATAATGAGCATTCAGAATTCTCAATGAAGTAGCTATAGCATTGATTCTTGTCTTGAGAAAATGGAGCTTAATCACAAATTACATATTACATGGTAGCAATGTTAGGGTAGCTGAAAGGTACATGCAATGAAGGTTCTTTTACATGCTATGGATACAGTAGTGAAGGTGCTTAGAACAAGCCACAAACCTTCAAAAGGCGCCTAAATATCAGCAACAGATGATGCAGAGCTGATGCGGAAACCAAAGGAAATGCAAGTAAGTTCATGTTTTTCTCCATCGATCATCTTCATAGTAAGAGTGTATGAACCCTGCAAATGACAAACATTGCCATAGATATCAATTAATGCAGGTGAATGCAAAATTCATTCTTCTGGTTGATCCCACTATCTTGCCTCCGCTATAAAATTAGACCCAATGATTCAGACTAGGGACCTTTAAAAGCCATTTCGAATCAAATAGTCAACAATTTGAATGATATGACCAAAGAAACAGACTGGGGTAGCATATCTTCCATTTGTTGCAACCACTCAAAAGAAGGATGATAATAATAATAATAATAATAAAAAGGGTGAGGGTGGAGTAGAGAGTGATTCAAGCAAGACTAGGGATAGCATGGTGATAAATTCTTCCTTTAAAACAAATTTAAGAATTGGACTTGACTCACAGAAAAATAACATTATTGTCATTAAACTAACAGTGGTTGTTTCAAATGAAAAATGATTTGCAACAGAAACAACTATTCATGGATGATAACAACTATGATAGTGTTTTTCTGGAAAATACCCCCTATCAAACAGTGCTTCAGTGCACTGACAAGCTACACAGATTGAAGTAGCTAGACCATAATTGGAGAAAATTATGACTCTGTACCACTCACCATTTTTCTCTAGAAAATAATTAAGGAATTATAACGTCTAATGGAGCTTTTGAAATTCCTGATGTTGCAAGGAAAAACAGGCATATATGATTACCCAAAACAAGATTGAGTTATAAACAAACCAAACCATGTAACCCCGAAACTAGGGTTGCTCAGTTAGAAGAATGGGCAAGAGAGATATCTCAAAAAGGAATATTATCAAAAACAATATCCCGCGATCCAATTCACTTGACTCAGTTTTCACTCTTACAAAACATGCTTCTTGATATTGGCATGCCAAATAAGTAGCCCAAAGCTGCCAAAAATAAAAACCTCAAACATTTGGGCTTACAGAAAAATTGCTTAGTTCAGCGCATGTCATTTTACCATAATCATGTCATTCTCCACAGAATTTTCCAATCACAGACATGCTACATACTCAATCTCCAAACAATAACATTCATCAAAATTTATGAAAATGGATATAAATCACTTACATGCGGAGTGAATCCAGGCAACTCTTGAGAGTGAGACACCACAAAATTACCACCAGTTACAGGGCATGATGTCTCCACGCAAAGATCATGATCCTCACTATACACAGGAAGTCCGAAGTATCTAACACTGACCCTCAATATCCCACCAGTTATTTTTTCATCTGTATTAATTAATTAAAATTCAACAACCAAACTTACAAATTCTAATTATCCTAATATAAAAATATAAAATCACAAGCCATTAATTTCCGGAAACAAAAAAAAAAAGAAAGAAAAACATTGTTACTTGTTGTTGCAGAAATAGTGAAGGTCGCTGGCTTCCCTCCCTTCACCGGATTTGGGCTTATCTTCACTCCGGTTACTTTAACGGCATAATCCTTGTTCTTATCTGCATTAAAAAAAGATTCAAATCAATTAAAATAAAACATGGGATTGATACAAAATATTGATTTTGGTTGAGATAATTTGGAAATTGAGGATTTAGAGAGAGAAAGAGAGAGAGACCGCAGTACTGGAATTTGGAGGCCTGAGTCAAAGGCACGATCAGACAAAGCGAGATAAGCAAAGGTGCAACCAGCTTGTACTGAGTCATCTTCATAGATTTTTTTCAGAGAATCTAATGAAATTGTAGTGATTTAAGGATTTTTTTTTAAAAAAAGTTCGTTGAGAGAGAGGAGGTTGGAGGGGGAGATAAATTTGTGTTCTTTGTAATGGAAACAAAAGGAAGTATCTATCTGGGTTTTTGAGGTCAGGTGATTTTATCCTGTTTTCACATTAGGAATTAGAGTTTGATATTGATCTTTGGATTTGTAGGTGTAGTAAATGAATGGTCCAGATTTGTTGGGGCTGTTTGATTGATTTTGATGAGATAAGTAGTCCCGGAATTTGGACGGCTTGGATGTTTTATTAATATGTCGTCAACGGACCATTGCATGTGCTGGCCTAGTAGTTGGCGAAGAGAAGATTAGGTGGAAATTTCAATTTTCTTGACTTTACGAGGTTTGGAGAGCGAGTGATTGTCTTAGATACAAATTATTCAAATTGTTGTATTTTCTTAAGCGAAAGGCTTCTCCTTCGGTATCTTCGATCGTTTGCCAGCATCTTTAACAGTACTCTATGCTTTTAGTTAATATTTTTAATATAAATAAATTTTTTTATAAATTATATAAATTAAAGATCAATTTTCTTGTTAATGTTACTCTCTACATTAACTCTTTATTTTAATAAAATTTATAAAATATTTAAATCTAAATTTTTTTTTCTGTTAATCTCTCTTTATCCGATTGGTGGAGAGGTTAAATAACATAGAAAATAGTAATTTTTATTAATAAAATATAAGATAAAGAATCATATAAAGAATTATTTGGACTCTCTAATATTAGTGAGTTAAAAATATTCTATATGAGATTATGATAAAAAAAACATTAAAGATAAAATTTAAATTAATTTTTTTTATTATAAAAACAAATTTTAATATAAAGAAATAATTGGAGATGCTATCAGTTTACTAAACAAAGGGTACATAAGTGGCGTCCAACCTTTACTCCCAATTGGCGCTACACTCCATGGCCTGCTACTAACAACATTCGTAATGACCACCACGCCCATATCTTGGTTACCATCGAGTCCGCAGCATTCAAGGCCACACTGCCAAGCACTTCTTTTCTTTTTGTCTTGAACCAATTGCATCAGCTTCTTTATCACAGACACCTTGGCAACTTTGGGCACATTTTTCATCCAACACGACATCCACTACTCCTTCCTGGCTTCTTGATAGTTTGGATGTCCCTCATTTACTCTTATGATGGCTTCAAATATTGATTATTTTACCAAATATATTTGGGTTTATCCCCTCAAACACAAATCTAACGTCCATGATGTATTTATCTGTTTCATAAGAATTTTTGAAAACCATTTTTCACGTAAAATAATCACTCTTTACACTGACAATGGTGGTGAATATATTCGTCTAGGCTATTACTTAACTACTCATGATATCTCTCATCTGACCACACCACCTCACAAGCCGAAACACAATGGTTTTTCTGAACGACATCAGCATCCATCATGTTATTGAAACTGCTCTCACACTTCTATCTCATGCTTCTGTTCCCCTCACCTTTTGGCCTCATGTTTTCACTATTGTTGTTTACCTCATAAGTAGAATGCACACGCCTACTTTAGACTTTTGCTCACCATATGAACACATTTTTTGCACTCCTCCCAACTGTTCCAAACTTAAAGTATTTGGTTGCCTATATTATCCATGGATTCGACCATATTCTTCTCACAAACTTGAATCTCGCTCCACACCCTGTCTTCCTAGTGTACTATTTAACTCAGAATGCCCACTTCTGCTATGATCCCTCCAACTCAAAATTGTTTGTCTCTCGTCAAGTTTGTTGAGTCTGTCTTTCCCTTCGCTTCTCTAAACACACACCTACTCCGTCCTCAATCCAACACAATGTCAAATTGGATACCTCCACTCATTCATGTTCCTTCACACAGTACGTACTCATCCTCGGCCATTCTCCACTCCTTCCGACCAACATCCTGTCTAAATGCCCTCTACTGTTGTCTCGCCACCAACAGCCCCGCCTGCACCGTTACATTATTCTCCATCTTCAACCTCTTTTACTCTACATTCCCTATCTCCTTGCACCCAAAAACATTCTACAAACTTACACCCTCCTCCATCTGCTATACCGTCACCCACACCGCAACCTCATTATACTCACCCTATGACCACTAGAGCCAAAAACCATATTCACAAACTCAACCTCACTGCCCAACTCTCTACCACAGATGACCTTGAAAAGTCTTAATCCTCTGTTCTCTTTCACACCACAGCAGGACTAGGAGAGCGAAAGAAATGCAACTATACAGAGTGAGGAAATCCATGACCAGTTCAAAAGGAGGACGGCTGAACAGAATTGCTCAATTGAGTTACCTAGCTGAGTTTTCAAGTCTGGAAGGGAGTACAGGTGAGATAGCTCGAAAATGTTGCTGCCATAAGTAGACAAAGCATGCAGGAGGCAGCAGCATAGGGTCTTTGTGTATGGTTTGTTAGGTTAAGGTACATACAATTATTAGGATGGTCAATTTATATCTGGCCTGGGTTTTGCGCCACTTAATTTATTGGTCTATGAAAATATGGATCAGGGTATTAATTATTAAAGCATTTCTTTTCTTTTTAGTCTAATTTATTATGCTCTTTACTTCAAGGAACAAGAGCGTGAACATGCTTTATGTCACATTGCAATGATTTGACCCAAGAGGTTTCAAAAGTTTGAAGCCAACGTAAGGTTCATGGGCCTTCTTTTCTTTTATCCAAAATTCGTAACCCATTTGAGAATCATGCCCAGAATCCTTCGAGAAAGCCTTAGATCCAAGAATGTACCACAAAGTTCACCAATGGAAGCCGAAACGATCGTCAAGATAGATAAAGTTAAGGCTTAAATGGAGAATGGGGTTCTTACTGTCACTGTGACTAAGGGAGAAATCAAGAAACCTGACGGAGAGGCTGTTCAAATTACCTTTTGAGTGAGATGATGCATTGATGCCTACTGTAATGAATAATCAAAGTAATGGGGTTGGCAAAAACAATTAAAAGTGTATTTTAAAGCTAATGTGGATATTGAAGTTTCCTTTGCTCTTGTAAAAGTTGTGATACTCTACTTTTTAATGAACATTCCCCTAAAAACTTAAGAACTTTTTCTTTCTCTCTTTTTTGGCCGGGAGAAGCTTTAGAACCTGAATGTATTGAACCAATGCAATAATGGAGACGCTATTGATGGAGGATTTGAAGGCTAAAATTGAGTTGATTTACTATTGATAAGTTCCTTTTCGGAGTGGGGATCAAACCCTGCTGTGGGGGAAAAAGTCTTCTCCTCTGTGCTCTTTCACACCACAGCAGGTATATCTGTTCTTGCTGTTAATAAACTCCTGTAGTGTGACATTTTGTAATTTTAATGCCTCTTAAAACTTGGGGTCTCAACCATGCAAAAAACTTTAGTAGCATATCCTCGTAGTGTTGCTGCCTTACGATCTGTTTTATTTTTAGGACCTACCTTAACCTGTGTAATCATTAGGCTATGTAAAATTGGATTGGTTTAAATACGTTGTGCAGTGGTTTACATCCGGTCTAACGTTCAGCTAACCAGTGGGCATACGACATTTCAATGGTTTCTTTCCACATGATAACCGTGTCAGATTGTCATATCAACCGGGAAGATGGACATCAACATTGCATTAATTAACAGTCTCTAGGCAATTTGGGGACACAAGAGACTATCTGTATCTGTTGAAGTTTCTTTCTACCCATTTTTTTCAATACTTTAAATAAATTTGGTAGTTGGTGTCATAATTCAAATGTATTTCCTAATTACACAAATGCATTTAATTCTTAACTTTCTGGTTTCTGTCGTTGTTTTTCCAATTTTTTGGACAACTTGTTTACCCCGGTACAACTACCTGGTCTCGGATTCCGGTACTGTAATTTTGTAGAATGCATACTTGTGTAAAGATGTATAGAAAAGTTGTATATATTTGTGTGTCAAACATTAAAAAACTCAAAAATCCATATTCGATGTGTTCTAACTTTCTGAATCTTATCTGCATATATTTCAATCAGGTGTGTGACATAAATTTTGTTTCAAAAACTACAAAACTAAAAGAATACAGGAGAAATTACATTGCGGGAAAGAGCTCTATGGATCAATAATTGGAGCTGATCCAGTAATATGTGATGATTTTGCAGTGTCCAGATGGTACCCGAAGACTGCGAAACACAATTCTTCCTTAAATATTTTGGTCAATCCCGCCTGCTTGCCAGTGGAACCACCTCAGCCAGAGGGGTTGCGAGGGGTGTCGGCAATGGAGATGTTCTGCAGACTGGACAAGTTGGGTGCAGCCGCAACCACGGGTCAATACACTTCAGGTGAAAAAGATGTTCGCAATCAGGCAGCAACCGTAGCTTATCAGTGCTCTTATAATCTGCCAAACAAATAGAGCAGCATGAAGCAGTGGAGTCTGTCTTGCGTAGCTTCGCCGCCGAATACAGCAGTGTAGGATAGCTCTTCAGAGTGGCCTCATCAAGCCCTATATCGACAACAAAGTTTTGTACGTTCAGTTGCTGATCTGCAACATTTCTTCCTTGGCTTGGCACCGATGCCTGTTGGTTTCGCGCGCAAAAATAGGAAGCCAAAGTGATCGTTGTGATGAGCAGCAGGATTCCAATAGATACACCAATGCCATAGCCAAATCCACCGATGTTGTGAGAGCCAAGAAATCCATTATACCCTGTTGTGCTATTCATATCCTCAAGGAATATTGAAGGGAGAAACTGGAATTGGATAGGTGATGCAAATGGCTTGGTCAGCCATGGCTGTGGCAAGAGAAATGGTTTATCTGGGGTGTTATAAATTTGAAAAGTCAACGGGAAGATGAGATATATAAAAAGAGTATTGATGAGTTTTAATTAAGGGAAGATGTATTTGGGCTTTGAAGTAAAGAGAGGGCAACGAGGCAAGCAATGCATGTGAATACAACATGTTTTTCAATATTTTATCAGTCATGTATTAAGGCAATCTGCTAGCCTTTTTTTTTTTTTTTTTTCCTTAAGGTCAACGGTTCTTGTAGCCTTCCATTTACGTTTGTTTTGATATGATTAGTAACATCTTTCTTTCAACTAATCTTAAAAATCCTTTAATCTTATATAATTCTCTTTGTGCGTGCAACGCACGATCCAAGTTGATAATATATATATATATATATATATATATATATTCATGATTGATTCTTATTTTATTCATGTAAGGTCAGCCATTATTATTTGCCCACAGGAAGATATACAGAGCTAAAGAGTTGTTTCCTGCTTGTGGTGTTGTTAACTGTTCTATATATATCACAGCCAATGACCTTGAATAAGGTTGGTGCTGGTGGTTAACACCTGCTGCTTACAAAATTTAAAGAATCTTTTGCCTTCATTTTTTTCCTGTTGTAAGAGATCTCAAAATAGTCTTTATGTCAAATTAAGGATGTCATCACGTGTAACTGGTGGTTAAGTAGCTGCTCCTACCCTATCCATTATTTGTGTCGTTTTCTGGGGGCGCTGGGCTGCAGTGAGATATGCCAATTGCCAAAGATTCTGACAAATTTCATTTTAGCATATGTCTATTAATCTGTCTCCATCATTCTTACATGGCTAATCGATGGGATAATTGGGAGATAAAGCATCCTTCATCTGCAAAGCAATGTTCCGTTTTTGTCATTGATATGAGATATTTAGGTATCAGTGTATGTTAACATTCCGTTTTAGGACTCATGCTACCAAATCTCGTGCCTTGGCTCAAGATGAGCTATGCAAACATTCTCGTGTTCAACAATATAAAAAAAAATTCTAATAATATATGAAATGGTAGCGATAAGACACTTTAAAACACTGTACAAATGAATTTTAAATAAATTTACTTTATAGGAATGAAAAATAAAAGAACTTAGATTAACTTTTTATCAAATAATTATAAGAAAAAAAATTATATGAAACGATGACATTAATAAAATACATTATGTTCAAAACAAGTATTGAAAAGGACCACACAAAAAATATTTCAAATTTCTTTTGAAAAATAAGCCTATAAAATTAAGTAATATAATGTTGCTTGATGCAATCAAGTATTTTATTAAAAACTTGTGTGACAATTACCAATACAAAATAAAGATATGATAGCTTTTCAAATTTTGAAAGGTCATAGTTTTCATAATCTATTTTTTTATCTATAGTTTAGTTTTCGTGATATGATCAAACTTGTTAGATATTGTTTGGTATAAAAAAAAAACGAGAAGAAATATTAAATCGACATATGTGCATGAACCTAAAAACCTCTATTTTAGCTTGATGCATCACAAAATAGTAGAGATTTTATAGACTTGCAAAATGAAAAGCTTTAATGATAAAATAAAGATCACAAAATACAGATTAAAATAAATAAATAAATAAATATTCACCAAAAGCCAATAGGAGAATAGGAAAAATAAAACCAAAAAACTCATTATGCATAAATAGGAATAAAAATCACACATAATAAAACTTCAATGATCAAAACAAAGTAAAGATCCCATAATAAGAATCAAAACGGAAAGAAAACTTTAGTTTAAAGCCAAAAAAAGGCTTAGGAATAGTAAATTTTGGAGATTGCATTATCTCCATCTAGAAATAAAAAGTTTAATTTAGTTCCATTTTAGGTCTTTGGTTTTGTTATTCTTCCATAGTCACATTTGATGCCAAAACTTATAAAATCTTTTCACTTACACTCCTAAGTATAACTAATTCTCTAAAAAAAATTAGATTATTTATTCGTAAGACATAAAAAATTATTTAAATAAATAGACATGCTAATTTACTCTAATAATGTATTAAAATAAAACCAAAGAGTCTATTTTCAATAATTCAATAAAATATTTTGAGAAAAATTAAAATATGACAATAAAAATGAGCCCAATAACTATAATTTTAAACTTTGAAGGATCAAAATAAAAATATAATTTAAGAACTTAAACAAAAAGAAAAGGAAAACTTTGTGGCATGCAAGGCCAAAAATTGCATGACCTAAGCTCCTATAACCAAAGTAGAGATAAAATCACAAAATAGAGACCAAAACAAATTAGAAAAAGCCTAAAAAAGGCTTAGCTATAGTAAAACTCTATTTTTTTTAGTACATTTACTAGCATATATCATGCGTCCGTTGCCGCGAGTAAGTTAAACAACATTTTCATATATTCATTCATATACAATACAAAATTCAAAAATAATTATTTAAAAGATTCACGTGAGAAAAATTTAAAGAATAGAGAGATCAAAGTATATATTTCGTGCATTACTCCATAGTTAGCTACACAAAAAATCTGAAAGTTGAGCAATATAATTAATGTTGCTAATTAGATGTTTAATACAAATATACATTATATATATAAGACTAAAAAAAAAAGGTGCATTATGCATAAGGTAGAAACAAAAATCTAACATGATAAAAAAAAATCACAAAACAAAAAGAAATATTTTTTACTAAAAGTCAAAAAGCTTAGGATAGTGAAACTATATTTAGTTTTGGTGTAAGAATAATAAAATCAAATATGATAAAAATTTAATGATCAAAATAAAAGAAAAATCACAAAATAAAGACCAAAACATAACAAAATGTTTTACTAAGAGTCAAACAAATATTCCTTACGGGAATAAAAATCAAATATAATAAAACTTGAATGACCAAAATTAAAAAATAAAAGATTACAAAATAGGGACTAAAATATAAAAAAAAAAAATACTAAAAGCCAAAATAAGAGCTTAGCTACATTGAAAAGCTATATTGTTTTAGTATATTTATTAACATATAATACAAAAAGAAAATTCAAAGTAATATTTTAAAATACATACTTTTCAATTCAAATCTAAAAAATAAATTAACTTCAAATTGTAAAATACCGACAAAATGTCAACCATTAAAAATTAGTCTCTCCCATTTCGAGAAACGAATTAATTAGTCTCCTTGTTTTAAAGACTATTATTTAATTTTTTTTACAAGTGTTGATTTTGCTAAAATTAATATTATTTTTATTTCACAAAAATTTTTCTTTTCTCATTAATTTTTTCATATTTTTTTCCTTTTTCTATTTTTGACAAAAAAATAAATTAAATTAAAAAAGAGCAAAAAAGATTAAGTTATAAGTAAATTTAAAAACATGAGGATTAAATGATTAGTTTTTAAAAAGAAAAGAACTAATTAATTTGCTTTTCAAAACAAGAGGGACTAATTTATAATTTACTCTTTTTAAATTTTTTGTGTAGTAGATAAGTTTAGAAATTTTGATTACAAATGAAGGACATTTAAAAAGCAACTTAATTATGATAAAAACCAATAAAATTTCAAATTTATCCATATTTTGATCCCAAACGAAATGGATGGAACATAAATGACATATTTTGGCTGGTGTTTGGCTAAGATATTGGAGACTTCTAAACAAGATGAAATTGATTTCGATTTTTTCTGTTTGTAATGTGGCATAAGATATAATCATCATTTTAGAAATTTTAAAACACTCAAATAGCAACTATTGTATACTTACAAAAATTATTTTATGAGCCTGTTTTTTAAGGAAAAAAAGAGAGAAAATATCACATGTGGCTCTAGTAAAAGTGATAAAAATATCTCTACTTGGACTCGATTTTTTTTTTTTAATTTCTCTTGTTTCTTTGTGCTTATCTCTTTTTTATAGAATTAGTATTGATAATTATTTTGAAAATAATATAAAAATTTTCCAATCATTTTAGATGGAATGCAATTGACAACCATCTACAAAATGCAAATTTGGCATTTGGTCCCCCAGTACGCTAAAATATGATGAAGAGAATTTTTATAATTTGGGCTTTCTACTCTGGATCATTATATATTGGACTTTTCTTGTCTGGTGTTTGTGGTTGGGCCATTGTGGTTATTCTTGCGCAACATATTTCATTTTTTTCATGGGGTTCAATGATTTGCCTAACACTTGCGGCCTCTTCCAACCTTTCTTTCGAACCTTTCTTCAGTAGACAAGATATTATGAAATAATAATAATAATAATAATTATCCATAATACATAACACGAAAAGAGTTGGTGAATAGTAATAGTGAGGAAAAAATGTATATAATATGTTTATATGTTTTTATATTTTAAAATAAGCATATATTTCAGATTTATTACTCATGTTATTTAAAATTTATTATTTTTTATGAAAATTCTCATCTAATTATTTTTTTAATTTTTATAAATATTTATTTACTAATAAATATGATTTATTTTCTCGATATATGAATTTTGAAAAAAATAATTATTTTCTCTTTTTAAAAATTAAATTAATATAATTTATATGATGGATTCTTAGAATTTTTATATGAGAGAGAGAGTGTGTGTATGTGTGTGCGCGCGTGTATGCGTGTATAAAATTTCAAGATTAAAAGTGTATTTTAAATGATTTGTTTTAAATTTTTTTAAAACATAATTTTCAAAATAGTTGATTAATAATTAAAATTCAAATGCAAAAAAAAAAGAAAAAAAAAGAAAAGAAATGATTGCTCTTCCTGTGAGGCCTATGCTCAAGAACTAGTAATGTTTAGCCTAACAAATTATAAAGAAAAAAAAATTAAGAAAGAAAGAAAATCACATGTTTTATTTGCTTCTTCTTTACATAATCAAAACTTATCGAAATTAATTTTGTAGTATTTTTTTTAATACCAACACACGCACACACACTTTCAAAAACTAATTTTCTCATCAACATTAAATTAAAAATTAATTAAATAATTTATTTATTTTTATACAAGTTTTTGCATCAATTGTTACTTTATTTTTTCAACACAATCTTACGTAAAAAAAAATACTAAAAAAAATTGGATTAATTTTTTCTATATATTATTACAAGTTTTTAGTTAAGGATCCATAAACAAAGAAGAACAAATCATTCTTTATTGAGTATAAAAATTATAAAAATATAAGGAAGAATTAGTTAAATATAAAATTTTGATTAAAAATTTATAAGACTAGATAAGTTTTTTATTAAAATTTTTTGATTTGATATATTTTGATGAACGTATAATATAGGGCAAACCATCAAATTAAAATGATTACTTCAAATAATTTTACATGTATTATTTGACTTACAGCATAATAATACAGGTAAAAAAAACTAGTTATAAAACTCAGTAGAGTATTTTTCAAACTTCTCTGAGGATCATTTTCTTGTAAGATGACAAGTAGCTTAAGTGTACAATAAAGGTTTTAATGGAATTTTTCTTCCAAGCACGAGTAGGATTTCATTCTTGACCTTGGATCCTGAAATATAGGCTTTTGTACAAAAATTATATGTCACAAATTAAAAATTATCAAGTTTATCTTATATATATATAAAATGGATACCCTTTTAAAAACTGTAAACATAATACGATGTTACCCAGATATCATGAGATATAGACCCATCAACATTATTATCCATCTTTTAATGAACTTTTCTTGATGTTTTTTTTTCATATAGTTATATTATGTTTTTCAAACAAATTTTTGCATATTAAAATTAATTCCACTTCCTCGTATTAATGAAAAATAAAACATTCAAGAGAATTATACTTCTCCTTAGCTAATACTAATTTTAATACTGTTTTGTTTTCTTGTTTTCAGTTCTATATCAAACAGGCCTTAATAAAGAGTTCGGCAAATTTGAGGGTCGAGCTAGAGCACTGTATTAGAGATATAGCCCACTGTGTTAAATTGCCATCTTTGGTTAAGCCCATACAGCCCTATCCTCTTCCCAGCAAATGATTCCGTCCTCTTTGCTCTTCGAATCCAAGCTCTCTTCTCCCTTCTCTGTTCTCTCTGTCTCTGTTTTCTCACTGGTAAGCCAAAAATTAGTAAAAACCAAAAACACGCTAGTACCACCAAACTCCACCACCACCACCACCACCAGATAAAGAATGGCAACGTTAACATCACTAAATCCTCTCCTTTTATTTTTTGTAACAATAACATCAACTCTATTACCTGTAGAATCAGGCAACACGAACCATGTCTACTCACCCTGTGCAGACACCACTGTACAGGTATCCGATGGCTTCACTTTTTCTATTGCTTTTTCGTCGAGGACAGCTTTCTTCTTCAACAGTAGCCTACAGTTGTCTCCCTGTGACCGCAGACTTGCGCTAACTAACCAAAATTCTCAGATCTCAGTTTTTAGACCTGAAGTCGATGAGATCTCTCTCCTCACCATCAATACCTCATCCTTTTCTCCGGTTAGTTAAAACTCCACTTTCTCTGTACAGTTTCTTTAATTTTGTTATTTGTTTTTTTGGTTGGGTCTTGGATGTTTTGCTCGGATTTTGAATTTATGTCAATTGGGCATTTGCTGCCTCTTGTTTACTGATTGATCGAGTCGTTTTTGTGTAATAGTGTTCCAGAATTGTTCTAAGTATAGAGATTATTGATGGATTTCGGCTTAAGCGTGATAAATTTTTCATCTTTTTTTTTTTTTTTTAATCAATTGCTTTCTTGTTTTGATTCTAATTTTAGGGGCCTATAGAGAAACCTGGCCATATTAGATTAAATAAAGGAAGAGAGGAGGGGTTTGTTTGAGGTATCGGCTATGGCTTTTTTGGGAGAATTGGTGAATAATTTTCATAGTGTTGAAACAAATAAGATGGGGTAAATGAACTAAGATGATTGAATGATAGAGAAGTAACTGTCGGGGACGATAATCTCTACTAGATTCAAAACATTGATAGGCGAAGCCTATAAACTGATTTTTTTTCTAATTGATTAATCTTTGTTACCTCTTCTTGGAAAAAGGAAAAGACGTTTAAAATGTCGCGATTGCTATCCATTTATATCTGCCATGAACATGAACTGTTCATTGTTACTTGACCAAGAACAAGCTGAAATCTTTTCCTTCATGTGTTGTCACTGAGCCTTCCACAATATGCTGAATTCAGTTTCGAGTCTCTGCAGATTGCCATAGAAAGTGTTGGTGTTAAAATTAACGAATAGACTCCCATGTTCCAAAACCCATGTTAGTTTTGGGTGTAGATGAGGTAGTGTAAGGTACTCAGGACTTATGTCTTTTGTAGAAAAAGCCAATTTGCTAGGAAATAGTTTTAGCAGCTAGAGCAAGCGTAAGGTGGTGCAAATGCTGAAAAAGTGATACCTGGATTGTGGGAATAGAAGAAAATTTTATTTCAAGTAGTTAAATAGACTAGGTATTCGTGCCCTTTGCCTATCTGTAGCCATCATTCGCTGACTGAGTAACGGCTAGAGATATATTTGATACTTTTTGTTACAATTATAGATCACTTCATGCTAATTGACTTATTTATGAATTCCAGAATCCATACATTTGTTGCTTTGTCTGTAAGATTTGGACAGATTCCTCTTTGGAACTTGATTTTCTTGACTTCTCGGGCATATGTAAGAATGTTCATTAATTTCAACACTCTTAGCATGCTTCGATGATCAATTGAGGCTCTTTGCCAAAAAGAGAATATATATATATGTTGTAAAAAAGGAAAAAGAAAGGTCTACCAAGAAAAAAAGGGAAGTCATTGCTAATAGATTGATCTGAGTTCAAATATTTCAAGGCAGACAGACATATTCATGAAAACAGTACCACATACTAAAATCAAACTATTGCACGATCAACTTGGGGTACTGAAAATACTCATTAAGAAGAGTTCAAATTAGTTCACATTCTTTGTCAGAAAAAAAAAATTATTGATGAGTTGTGTTTATAGGGGAATGGGTGAAATGAGAGGTCTAGAGACAAAAGTTGAAAGCAACAAATGTATATACTCTTAAGAGTTCTTAATGTGTTGCTTATTTGTTTTAGAACTATTATAAACTATATCAGCCTCTGCTTGGTAATGCCTTTTGGTTGCTTTCAAGGTGTGTTTGGGTTGAAAAAGCATTTGATGCTGTAAGCCTAAACACACTGCAAAAACACCCACACCACCTTACCAAATGATACTAAAAGTATTTCTAGATGCTAGTGAGATTTTATCTTAACACAAACCAAAAATCAGATTCTAGTGTGCCTACAAGATACAGTTGTCTCGTGCACTTGGTAATAAACAATTTCTTTATTGCCATCACTACCATTTTGATACATTATTCACCAAGTGTACACATGTTCCAACCGTAACAACTGCTTAACCTTTGTTACCATAACTCTTATGTGCCTTAGTCTTCCTCGCCTAAACTGAAAAACTAGCAGCTGGAAATAAAGAGACTACTAAATTGTGACCAAGAGTAGATTATTTCAATGGACCTGTAGTTAAAATTCATTCTCTGAGAAATGTCTATTTTTTCCTTTGAGATCCTAACTGAGCTGTTTGCAGTTGACTATCATCTAATAACCTCACCTGAAAATTTTGCCTTCATTTTATCTATGCTTCCACCTTATAGCAAATAATTACCTGTAATCTGTCACAGTGAGTATTAATTTGGTGATAGCCATTCGTATATTTATCAAGCCATGCATGGTATCAACCTGGATACCCTGAAGCATAAGGTTGGATGTAAATGACAGCACCACTGGCTTTCAATCTGTTTGAATTGAATCCTGTTCATTATAATGTATAACATTCCTGCAGTCACTTCCCTAGCTCAAGAGTAATGCACTGCTCTATGCTTGTACCACTTTTATTCAGTTTACTATATTCCTTTTTTTTTCCTCCTCTCCAGGACAATTACGGTGGGTATATGGTTGCATTTGCCGGTCGAAAATATGCTGCAAGGTCTCTCCCTGCTTTTGTTGCGAACAATACATACACGGTGACTAGCTTTACTCTGGTAAGAGAAGATCCAGGGCCCATTATGAACTCAATTTACCTTCGTAAGATCTTTAGGAACCCATTAAAATTTTGTAATGCAGGTGCTTGAGTTTAAGAAGGGAAGGCTACAGAACTTGTATTGGAAAAGGGATGGCTGCACTAAATGTTCAAAAGGCTCTAGCTTTGTCTGCCTCAACAATCAAGACTGTGCAATCAGAACATCCAGTTGCAAAAACCATGGAGGTAGTGTTGATTGCAGCCTTGGGATACAATTGGCATTTTCTGGCACAGACAAACACTTTTCTGCTCTCAACTCATGGTATGAAGTGGAAAACCTCCGACAGTACTCACTTTATGGTCTTTACTCAAATCTCAGGGATTCTCTCACCGGTCAGTATAACAAGATCTTCTAACTGTGCTTCAGATGGTTTGTAGAGTTTTGGTTTCCTCATATGTTGTAATTTTTTACTCATCTCTTGCCCAAATGGTGCCGACCTTTCTCTTCCAGTCGATGCTCCTCTTTGTTGTATTTTTTCAGTGTTGTGCTGTGTAAATTTACATACGTTAACAGTTATTTGTTATGAATATCAAACCCTATTAAAATGTTTGGAATCTGCCCTTTTTATGATGTTTAACTGCATATGGCCGTGGCTTTTGAAATATGTATGTCTACATCTGTGACGATTATTTGCACTTATGAGAAAAGTTATTGTAATGATTAAAATTTTCTCTTCAAGTATAATTTTTTCCTTTGTTTTGGTTGGATTGGTTCCTTTAGCGTGTGATAGTTCGTTTGGCATGGATAACTGCAACTAATAGGTTTTGAACAAATAGAGATGACATTATGATGAAGATGAATTGTGGGTAAATTACATGTGGTTTAGATTTTAGTCATTTCAACCGTTATTATAGTTTCGGACTTTCACTTTCTAGTCAATGGTCATTTTCTAATGAACAGGAGATGTTTAAACTGTTGCAAGTAAGAGGGTTGTAATGCCCAAAATTAAGGTATAGAGGTTAGAGGGGCCAAGATATAAAACTTGAAGGACCACGTGTAATTTACCCATGATCATTTAGGTTAAACGGTCCTTATATGCTGTGTTTGGATGCCCCGTTGATTATACACTTGGAGTTCCTATGTTTAATTTATAGAAGGTTGGATAGGGATTTAAAGAGTGGCCAAAAGGTGGTTAGTTCCTGAATTATTGATCATAAACCAAGCAGTCCATATGAAATTGGTCCTTAAAAAAATTTGGAATTGAAATCGAGTCTCTCTATTAACTTTATTTATGCTGTATTTGGTTCAGCTATGCTTAAAGTAAATTATAAATTAGTCTCTCTTGTTTTGAGAAATGAATTAATTAGTTTCTCTTGTTTTAAAAATTTATCATTCAGCGCCTTACCGTTAAGTTCTTACTTGATCCGTTAAACTAATGCATGATACTTATAATACCCTTTAAGGTATATATCAATTTGAAAAATGTCAATACCTTTAAGATGTATATCCAGTTGAAAAATCCCATTGGCGATACAAACGTCGTTGATTTTGCCCGGACTTAAAAGTGCCAATATGAGTTCAAAACCAGTTCTTTCAATGTTAAAGCCTTTGCATGTGTCAAATGTTGAGTCTTTTGCATTGTCAAGTCTTTTGCAAGGCCCTAAGAGGCTGATCGATCAGAGCTAATTAAGGCACCTGAGGTGAAATCAGAGGCTGCAAAAAAAAAAAAAAAAAAAAAAAAAAGAGAGTTAAAATTGGGATTTATTTTGCTGTTTGGTGGGCTTTGAATGTTATGTTTCATGTATGCAGCAAGAAGGTTTTGAATGCTTTTTTATATCCATGGTTGACTTCTACGCGTTCTGTTGCTTGTGGATCTCTTGTGATGTTGATCTCATGGGCTGCAAGGGTTGCTGAGGCATCAAAGATTGATTTTGAGTTTTGGAAGACTCTGTTCCCTAAGTTTTGATTTCTGGATTTTGTTTGGTTTGATAGAAAAGACATGGGTGAGGAGAGAAAAAAAAAAAAAGGATAAAAGAGAGAACTAAAACATTAAAATAAAGATAATTTAAAAACAAAAAAATATTATAATAAAGATATTTCATCACTATTTTAATAAAAAAAACTGATGAAATGAATATATTTTCAATGAAATTATCACGTAAATAATGCAATAATTAGTTTTTGAAATAATAAAAATTAATTTATTTGTTTCTCAAAATGAGGGGATTAGTTTATAATTTACTAGCCACGCTTATAAATTAAAGTAGTAGTTTTTTTTTTTTTACGAATATATAAACGTTAATTTGCTGCTTTTGAAAAGTGATCAAGAGGCCAGTCATGAAAAGAAACAGAGGCAGCCATGATTCATGAAACTAATTATTTAATTAGATAGAAGGGTGAGTTGGAGTGAAATGTGGGTTTAACTATGTGATCACTGTGGAAGTAGATATAGCCTAACAATTATGTACTTTAATATATTTTTTTTAATGAAAGAACTTTGAGTCTTTAATGATTTTAATTTAAATGATTATTATTGTATTATGGAAAGAGTTACACCTATTTCATAGTTATGGTCCAATCAGCCTCCCCCAAAAAAAAAAACCAATGAAAGAAAACAAGTGCTGGGTCAAGTATTTGATATGAATAGACAAAAATAAATCGATATATATTTGATAAGGAAAGATAGGGCAAAAACATGATAAAAAATAGAACTAGTTTTTGATACATGGGAATATGTTAGAGATAAGACAAGACATGTAACGAGAATATGTTTAATTTTTAATCGATCACTAAACTCCATTTTAAATCAAATTAATCTAATCTTAACAGTACTAAAGAGTAATTATAGCTAGTTATTTATAAATAATGTGAATTGAAACTTGGTCTTCGCCCAATCAAAACAACATCTTCACTGTTAAACCACATCTCTCGGTGGTGAGCTAAATTTGTGATTTTCTTTTTGAAAAAAAAAATTTTATGATCTTTTTTCTTAAAACTCTAAAATATTTATCTTATATTTATTATTTTTTGCAAATGATATTCATGCTAATAATACATGTCCACGAGTCTTTTTAAGTTATCTAAAAATATATGTATAGAAAAATAAATAATAACTTAAAAGTTTGGTTAAGACCAAGATTCAATTTACATCACTCGTACAGATTATTAATTATAATTATTTTTTAATGGTATTTGCTTGGACTGATTTGGTTTATGAGGGCCCGACCAAAGGTTAAACATGTATGACGTCGGTTTAGTTCAAGAAGTGATGGACTTAGGTGGTATTTGATAAAACTAAAAATTAAGTGCTGAATTTGTTAAGTATTGAATTTAAGTGCTGAATTTGTTAAGTACTGAATTTAAGTGCTGAATAATTAAGTACTAAATACGTTTCGATAAGTTGTTTGATATTTACTAAAAATTAAGTATTGAATATAATAAGTTTGTTTGATAACTACCGTTATTGAACATATTAAAGCCATATACATAATAATTTTAACTTTGATGAATTTGAAGGATATCAACAAAAAAGTGTACAAGAAGAAAAAAATATTGATGATGATGGGATTAAAAAGACACGAAGGAATATAAATCAAACCCGGGAACTAAAACAACTTAATCTACAAAAAGAATCGGTCTTTCTCTAAAAAAAATATACAAAAAAAAAATGATCAAGATATCAACAAACATGAAGGAAAATCAATTGTAATGGAATTGAAGGAAAATTACCTACAATGGGATAAGACCTTGGCGTTTTAGATTCTAGGATAGAAGCACCGATAATGGAGAAGGTTTCATCTATTTAGCAATGGGGATAGTAGAGATTGTTTTTCGGTTGGTTTGTATAGATAAAGTTATAAAAATATATAAAGGCGATATAGTCATATTTGAAAAGTTTTAAAAATCTTTCAACTAAGTGTATTAATAAAAAAATAATAAGTTAAAAATTTTAACTTAACTAATTAAGTTGATTTTAACTAAACTTAAATTTTTAATATAAGATTATTTAGGTTATTAAACAAACTTTTTATATTAAGTACTACAACTTAATTTTTTATGTTATTTAAATAAGTTATCAAACACCTCATTCATCTCGGTTGATATGAAAGCTAATATAAAAATACTTCACTACCTTTAAATATAATAATAATAATAATAACAATAATGATAATATTAATAATAAAGAAAAATAAATAATAACTTGAAAGCTTTCCCTATGATTTTTAGATATAAGCTGATTTTTTATATAAGCTTTGAATTAATTTGAACTATTGATTCTTTTGTAATTATTACAATAAGTAGCTTGATTTTGATAATTTTTAGATCTTTGAATAACTTTACAAGCACCAAGTAAAATTAAATAATATGATGTATATTGATTATCTTGTATACATACATTTCTTTCATTTCATTTTTTTTATAACCTAAAAAGGGAAATATTTAACACACAATTGTAGTTATTTTGTACACATTTCAATTAGTCATGTGTCCTTTACTATTTTATATATTTTAAATTTTCATCATTTTCTTTGAAATTGGATTTTTTTTCATATAAAATATAGTATAATAAAAAAAATCAACGTATTGTATCCTTAATTTTTAATTGGTGTATGTATGGTACCACATATCCAATACCTTTATTCATGTTTCATAGGTTTCATTGAAGGACGGAGGTGTACAAATATTTTTATTCATGTTGTTATATATATATATGGGCAAAACTAGGAACATATATAAGAGTTGATGTTGATTCGATTTGAGAGAAATGTTTTCCATATATAAATAGAGGAATATGATTCAATGTCATCAATTATATTAGATATTATTTCTATTTGTATATTTTGTTTTTAAATTTGTTACTATGAAGCACAGATATTATTTAAAATCTTGTACATATTTGTTATGGGTGGTATCTCATGACGATACTTATAGATTAAATTTTCAGGATACGTATTGTATACCAACAAATTAACTTATCCAATATTAATAACTACTGTATCAGATACTCTTGTGGATATTATGAAAATATTTTTATAAACATATCTGATATTTCATGGTTACTTCATAAATACAATTTCAATTGTTTTCATTATGATCAGCAAAAAATTCTAACTCTTTTAATATATATTTTCCACATATTTCAATTTTACAATAAAAATCAAAATAATATAATTTATATGGATAACAATTCATGAATATTATCAACTAAAGAAAAAAAAACTTGGCTTTAACATTCTTATTACAGGTGTTAATATATATTCAAACTAATCTACAGTGTCATTGTATTTTAATGAGTTATCCTTATTGTTAATGCATATTTTGATATTTACTATTTACATTTAAAAATAATTATAAAATAGATAATTTTTCATTAACGTATACATATATAGCGTAATTTTATCTTATTTATTTATTTATTTACTTATTTTTAAGAATTGAGGAATATCCACTCTATTATGTTATATCTATATCTTGTTTATGTATATCTGCCCTTACTACCTTTGTTTATCATTAATCTTTTTTTTTTTTTTATGTTTGTTTACATAAAATTAAAGAGTATAATCAAGACACATATAGAATTCCATCTAGAATAAAAAACAATTAAATTGAACTTTCAAGAGTTCATGATTGTCATGCTGTTAGATTTTTCAATTGTTAAACTTTGTATTCCTATAATATGCAAAGTTCAATCTGTTCAACCTTACTTAATTTTTATTTTATTGAAGGGAGAGTTTTAAAACTCTAGAAGGCAATTACAATTAATGAAGGCACACAATTTTTAGCTGCTCATTATGCTAACTAGCCTCTTAGTAATCGTTTGTTTATTAATTATCGTTCCTAGCTACCACATAATTGTCATTCTTAAACTTTTTTTTTAAGAAAAAAAAAGGCAAGAAGGATATAAATTAAGACAAATTAATTAAGAAACATAACATTTCAATAAGCCTAAAGCTTAGGCGATACATGAATGACCCATGACGTCTTTTGAAGGAAATTAAATTTGACAAACATGACACAAACACTCAAAAAAAAAAAAAAAAAAAAAAAAAAAAAAAAACCTTTCCAAGAGACCGACGCCCTGAGACATCAGACGGAACATAATACAATTCAAGGATTGAAGTTGTTGTTAGGCCAGCTTTTGGTAACATCAAATGGCAGCCCGGTGTCACTTGAACCGGCTCCAAAAAATCCAGGGAGCCCCAAGTCGCTTCCACCAGCACTGCTAGCTCCACCTCCACTATAGCCACGACGATGCATCCCTCGCAGTCCATGGAAAGGGCTTCCACCAGTACTGCTTCCAGCAAAACTACTTCCAGGAAGCAGCCCCAGTCCTAAATTCTCTCCACCCATATCTCCACGAGCCAGCCAAGGATCAACATTATTGGCAGAAGCGATGTTGCCTCCCATATTATTGATATGAGTCAGCCACAGGTCAGAGGTGTTTCCACCAGCGCTATTGCCTCCTATATCATTTCCTTGAGGCAAGTCCAGATCAAAACTGTGTCCAACACTATTGTTGCCTCCTGGATTAAATCCTAGACCACGAGGCAGCCAAGGATCAAAACTGTTTCCAGCATTGTTGCCTCCTGTCATACTACTGCTAAGAGGCAGCCCCAAATCCAAGTTGTTCCCACGAGAACTGCTGCCTCTTAAAAATTCATTTTCATGAGGCAGCAGTCCCAGATCAAAATTATTGCCTCCCATATTTCTGCTATGAGGGAGGCCAAGGCGAAAAATGTCACTAGAACTGCTACCACCACCATCATTATGCCCACGGTGGAACCCGATGTCAGGTCCCCCACCAGAGCTTCCACCAGTAAAGCTAAATGGATTCGGCGGCCCCAAGTCACTCCTGGCGCTGCTACCTCCAGCAACATTATGCTCTGGGTTGTTTATTATATCAGTGAACCATTGGTCCCATGATGCACCACCATCTGTGGGATTGTTCCTCCCATTTCCAGATTCTCCTCCAGCTTGGCCTCCAGTTCCATCATCGTTGTTAGGGTCTCGAGGGGGAAACGAAGCAAGTGGAAAGGCACCTGGCTGGAGTGGGGGAATTTGTTGAAAATATTCAACCCTTTTCCTTATCTCCTTCATTTTCTCCTCCACCAACCAAGTTAAACCACACAATTGAGTGTGCTCCAAGCCATCTAATCCCTTATCTTGGTGGACTTGTTGCATGAGGCCGGCCATCTCCAGCTCCCTGTTCTTCTTTAGGTGCTTCCTGGACTGGTCATTCAGTTTGCCCATCCTTTCTTTCAGGTAGCTTTCTTGATTCGTCATCTTCTTATAACGCTCCATCTGGGGCATGTTGTGGAACCTCATAAGAAGTTGTTGCACCTCAGAGCGTGATGGCCAGAAAGCTGGTTCTGGATCATCTGGACTGTAGATGATAACAAAGGCCTCGATACCACATAGAATGGTCAATTCACTCACTTTTTTCAGCAACCCAACTCTCCTTTTCTTGAGGCTAGCTTTCCTAGCTGCATCATTCACTATCCACATAAGCTTAACCTTCTTTCTCGTCATGTTTGCTTTTCACTCGTGCTCTAAAACTAAACCCAATGGGAGATTTATATAACAGAAAATAAGAGTGACCAAGGGTTAAGAAAGCATTGAATGCAGTGGCCAAAAATGGAAAAGGGCAAAGAAAAAAATGGTGACGGCCATATAGGATTTTAAGAGGTAATCTGCATATAGGTTAAAAATCTAGAAGTCAAGATTCTATAGTTACGTATTTTTGGTAAGAGTATAAAATTTCTTTTATTTTTATGGTAGGAATAAGTCACATGCCATTTAATTACAGGTCGTTCTTCAAAATCAAGGTGGACCATTGTTGAATATATCTGGTATCTCAGTTTTCATGGTGCGAATTTGTACTGAGTTACACAATAGTTTCATTGATGGAGTTACAAATTAATGACATATATTTTTATACTATAAAAAAATGTCTGAATTTGTGAAAGTCACATTATTTTTGGCTAGTAAGAAATTAGAAATTGCAAGAATTAAAGACTGAAATATTAAAGAATCATTTTAATTTAAAAATTAAACTATTAAATGGGATTTCAAAATTTATTTATATTCACTCTCATAGATAAAGAGTATTAGATAATAATTATTTTTTTAATTAAAGAAAAGGGAGCAAATTTATTGAATAAAAAACTAATGACAGAAGCCAATCAAAATTGACAAACAGTTTGGACTATCCATTTTAATTTGCAAGTTACCATGGAAATTAAGCTATAGAATTCAATCGACTAAATAAGTTTGAAATATATTAAAATATTGGAAGTGCGTTGTTCTATGCCACCCTTTCCCCTGATGGCCAGATAATACTACGTTAAAGTATATATAAATCAAATGTAGCTAATAACATGTTTTAACAAAAAAAAAACTACGTTAAAGTATATATAAATCAAATGTAGCTAATAACATGTTTTAACAAAAAAAAATTTTCGTGCGAATTAGATATATCTGGATTCATATAATTATGAATGTTTTGTGTCAAATAATCATCTCAATCTAATATGTTAAACTATTAGGTAAAATCTCAAGGTTTTGATACTATATGTATCAAAAAATTATCTCAATTCAATAGTTTATATTATTAAATGAGGTCACAAGAATGATATTTTCTATGACTTCTTAATAACTTGAATTAATTTTTTCAATAAAAAATATCTAAGGCCACATTCGTGCGTTTAAAAATTATATCTTAATCATGTACTAGACAAGTTTCTTTGTCATATTTCTAAATAATAAAGCACTAATTTAATTTACTACAAACTAAAGACACACATTGTTAGTAAATTTGTAATGGTTGTTGACACATATTATCATGTATTCCTTGGTCTCAACATGTGAACAAGTAAGAGTCTGTTCTTGACCAAAAAAAAAAAAAAAAAAAAAAAAAGTATCATAAAAGAACTTATATTTGGCATATGGAAATAGAATACACGAGAACAAAGGTCCTATAAACCCCAAAATTAACAGTATCTTGCATGTCTGGGTACCAGTACTTTTGGCCTATTACAAGAATTAATATATATATATATGGCAATGTAAATTTTTAGCATATATTTTGATTATATACCTAATTATATAGTAAGTGGGGTTTGCTAGGTAAACTTCCAATTACTACGATAAATAAAACTATTGTCTTCAATTACTGAGCACATTGCATATTTTCTAAGAATATAGAGAGAATAGCCAGGCAACAAATTGACAAGTTGATTTGGTGCTGATAAGTACACTTCTGTAGAGGGGTTTGGTAAAGAAAACTTTCCAATTTTGGGGTCAATTTCAATTCAAATTTCAACGGTTTAGCATAGAGGTGGACCGCTAATTAATACATCATCAATGCCGTGCACATAGATTTGAGTTGGCTGTAACGTTTTCTACCTAATTAATGGGCTGGCCATTACCCAATAAAAAAAAATTGACTAAAAATGGCAATCGGTAATTTCCAGTTACTTATCTGCCACCTTGAAATTCTTTCCCACTCTCTCATGATTGGGACAGGTGATATTATATTTATACTCCTCTTATGATAATTGGTGACCTTGACTGACCGTTGTTCAATTAATTTGTTTTCAATATATTGCTCCAGATAATTATAGATAGCCATCAAATTGGGATTCCATGTAATTCTTAAGTCTTTTTCTTGTGTATGAAAAAAAAAAAAGTTATTAATACAAACGAATCATAGAAATAAAGATGCATACATGTCAAGAGATAAAATATGAATTGTACAATCAGAATTGCTCTAAAATTAAGAATTGCTCTAAAATTAAGCATGAATGCGATCATGTACATCTACCTTGAATGCAAAACTATTATAAAAAATAAAAAATCTCAAATAAAAAAAAATTTGACATATTGTTTCATATATGATATCTAAATCAAGTAAACGTAGTCTTAATACTTTTAAACTTAAATCGAATCGATCATTTTAAATTGGTTTCTAATTTAATTAACTTCTAAAAATTCATCTACATATCATTATAATTTATTATATACTAAAAGTTTTCTTGGACACCGATGGTTGATTTAATCGCGATCTTTATAGAGTTATATATCGATTCAACGTTATAATTATCTACAATCCATGCATTTGACCTAATCATAATCCATATTAATTAAACTACATATCAATTTAATGTTATTATTATTAATGGTTTATCACCAATCTATCTGACCTAATCGCGGTCCTTCCATCTCAAATTAGAACCATTAAATCCAAAGTAGCTTCCAATGGAATCAAATATTGACTTCATCAATTATTCATTTGATAAAATGAAATGGGCTGACCCACACGAACCCAACATCGATTCCACAGGCCAGCTCACCTTCCCCTCTCCTCCATACTGTCATTCCAGGCTCGAAAACAACCCAGCCCGCCCACAACCTTTATAACAGATCCAAACTTGCAGAACTATATACCTAGATCAGCACCAGAAATGCAGCCTTTATCTCATTCCAATCTAAGCCTTCTTACCGCCCCTATGTCAAGTTCACTCACTCCTATAACCGAACCCAAAACCTCAGTCCATCCGAATACATTGATATCGCCAAACCTGTCACACGCTTTGGCACTTGGAAAAAATTGGCTACAAAAGTTCATAATCAACCATCCGAAACCTTGCTACCCTCCTTTGGAAAGCAAGATTTTTTTTGGCAATGAATGATATTGTTCCCGATTCTTCTATTACGAAAAGCAGAGAGAATTCTCGTCTTTCAGAGAAGGCGGAGGCTGGACGCCAGCCCTGCCAGCAGCCATGCATGAGGATATTATCATGGAACTGTTTCAGTCTAGGAAACGACCCAACAGTTCATATTTTTCAAAATTTTGTGCGTTCAGAAGTTCTCAGTGTTATTATTATTTTCTTTTTCAGAAACTCGATTAAAAAGTTGTGAAGTAGACAAAATAAGACATAAAGTAGGTTTTTATAATAGCCTTGCTGTTGTTTGTGAGGGGAATGGCCGCAATAAAAGTGGTGGTTTGGCCATGTGGTGGAATGATAAGTGGTGCCTCAATTTGTTGTCCTTTTCCATTCATCATATGGATTTTGAAGCTTGGCTTTATGGATGGCCTGAAACACATGACAGACATCAGTCCTGGAAGCTGCTTAGATCATTAAAAAAAAATTACTTCTCATTTGCCTCGGTTACTATTTCGCGACTGGAATGAGATTTTGTTTTCTCATGAGAAAAGTGGCGGTAATATATGTGATTTTCATCATATGTAAGTTTTTTATGATTGTGTTTCTGCATACGAAATATCTGACTTGGGATTTGAAGGAAACAAATTTACATGGATTAATAAACGTGCTAATCGCGGTACAATTCAAGCATGTCTAGACAAAAGTTTTTGCTTGGATTCTTGCACACTGGACTAGAGTTAATCACCTTTTGCGGATTCAGTCTGATCACGCTCCATTACTAATTTCTTGGGGAAGAAGTGTTGAGCAACCAATTGGAAAAAAATGTCCTTTTCATTTTGAGGCTATTTTGAGACCACGTGGACATGTTCTACAGATTGTGAGAAAGTAATTAAATCTTTTTGAAAAAACCATATATATTGTCAATTCAGACCACGCTACCATTGGTGCTAAAATTTTAGCATGCAGAATGGACTTGTCATCAGGGAATTCGCATACTTTTGGGAATGTCAATAATCAAATCAGAAAACTTTAGCAAAAGGTAGTGTCCCTTCAAAAAACTCAGCAATAGGAGGATGCCTTAGCATCTCAGAAATTATGTGAAGATGAAATGGAAGTGCATCTGGCAAGAGAGGCGACAATGTGATTTCAACGTTCTAGAACCAACTGGAAGAAAGATGGTGATAAAAACACACGGTTTTTCCATACAAAGAGAACATGAGAGAAAAGAGGAATAGTATCTTTATTTTGAAAAATATTAGTGGGTAATGGATTGACAAAGAGGAGGATATGAAGGAAGTGGTTATAGATTATTTTGAGAACCTTTTCACTTCATCTAATCCTGTTAACCTGGAGGGGGCTGTCACCGATGCAATGGAAACAAAATTCACTTAGGATATGAACAACATGACGACAAGGGATTTCTCTCAAAAAGAGATTAAAGAAGCTCTACGTACCAAATGTAACCTACCAAATCCCCCAGGATATGATGGTATATGTCCACCCTATTTTTTATGAAAAAAATAAAACAAAAAGAGTTTGGGTGACATGACTCTTAAACTTTAAATGAGTAAAGCATATAACGGAGTTGAATGATCCTTTCTAGAAGCTGTCATGATTAAATTAATTAAGATTTCATAAGAATTTATAATTAGGTGTATTTCTTCTGTTTTATATTCAGTTATTGTTAATGGCTCATCTACTGCATCCTTTTATCCTTTAAAAGGATTGCCACAAGGGGATCCATTGTATCTAGATCTCCTTTTTTTAAAGGTCTATAGAGTCTTATTCATCAATCCGAGAGAAATAACATTGTTCAGGGGGTGAAAATATGCAAACAAGCCCCTTTCATTTCACATTTGTTCTTCGCAAATGATAGTATCCTTTTCTACAAAGCATCAATCCAAAAAGCGGAGGAACTTCTTTGTATTAATTCTCAAATGCTATGAGAATGTCTTGGTCAACAAATTAATTTTGATAAGTCAGCTAGAGCTTTCCTTTAGCCAAAATGTACCGCACCAAATTCAATCTTCAATCTAGAGAAAGATGTTAGTTATGGTAGTAGATGAGCATGACAAAAATCTAGGCCTTTCTATAGTGATTGGTCGTTTAAAGAAGCGAGTTTTTATCCTAGTGCGGGAGAAAGTGATTAATAAGCTTAAAGGTTGGAAAAGGGTAAAAGAGATTCTCATTAAAGTAGTGGCTCAATCTATCCTTACATATATTATGAGTTGTTTTCATCTTTCTCAGGGCTTTTGTGATAAGCTAAATTCAATGCTCTCTTGGTTCTAGTAGGGTTAACAAATAGATGAAAGAAGTATCCATTGGTTAAAATAGTCTCGGGTGTGTTCTTCAAAATTGTTAAAGGGCTTGGGATTTAGAGATTTTCACTCTTTTAATCGTGTTATACTGGCTAAACAAGCTTGGAGGATCATCAATGACCAATCTTCGCTACTATTTAAGCTTCTAAAAGCAAAATATTTTCAAACATCTAGTTTCGGCTATGTTACTAAGAAGGGCTCTACTACTTCTTCTTGGCGAAGTATCTTGTGTGAAAGAACCATTGTTGATGTTGATGTAAGATGAAAGGTGGGAAATGGGAGTAAAATCTGCGTATAGAGCGACAAATGGCTTCCTTTACAAGCCAAAAATAAGTCGGCGTCCTTTCTTTATTTACTACAACTTTTGATATGCTCATTAACAAAGAGACTTGTTCATAGAAAACTGAACTTATTGCCAAATATTTTGGCCTTTTGAAGCAAAGCAAATCATCTAGATCCCCTTAAGTTTTTGGTGCCTTCATGATATGATTGTTTGGCATCCTATAAAAAATGGTAAAATTTAGAGCGCTTATTATGTGGCCTTAGACTTAATCAGGAACAATAAAGAGTCGTCCAGTGGGTTGATTGAGATTGAAAAAAGAGTATAGAAGAAGTTATGGCAGCTGAATGTTCCTCTAAAAGTCAAACTCTTTTTTGCTGAGGAGCCCTCAAAGACATCCTCCCCTCACATTCAAATATAATAAGACGTGGGATGCCTATTGATCAATATTGTGGCAGAAGTGGGTATCATTCGAAGCATATTAATCATATTCTTTATAGCTGTCCTTTTACAAAGAGTGTTTGGGAGTCGAAGACCAATTCAGAAGCTTATTTTGTTCTTCTGTCCACTTCTTTATGAGAATTGGTTTGTCACTTCTTACTACCTCTAGACGATTCGATCATTGAATCCTTTATTCTGTTAGTTTCTAGTATGCTAAATCTAGGATGCTAAAATTGCTTATATTTCTAGCGTAAAGAGATTGATGTGTCGGGTGTTTTACAAATTGCAAGGTCCACTATTTTTTCCTTCCATAATGCTCATCAATTGGAGGACAGTTTATCTTCTCGGTCCAGCAACTAAGAGACTATTCGGTGGGTTCCTCTACCTAAAAATTGTAATCAAAATCAATATAGATACTTCTCTTAACAACAATATCAGTGGTATTTGTGTTATTCCTAGAAATTCTATATGATAAATTATATTTTCTAGCCACAAAGGTCTGAAGGTACACTACCCCATGAAAATAGGCGAAACTCTTGCAATGGTCTATGGACTACAACTTGTTATTGATATGGGTTTCTTCAAAGTTTGTTTGGAATTAGATTGTGCTAGTTTCATTTATTAGATACGTTCAGATGTAGAAAATGACTCCTACTTATCTTCTGTGCTTTTGATATCAGAGCTTTAGCTAGTCTTTTTCATTCTTTTACTTTTTTCCATGTTAAATGTGTAAACAATAAGGTTGTTCATAAACCAGCTAATTTAGTTAGTTTCAATCTTGGCGAGCATGTTTATGTTGACGATTGCCCTCACTATTTATGGGATGTAGTCTTTATTGATGTACCTCGATTTCTTAATAAAAATCATATTTTTATTAAAAAAAATGAAATGGACTCGAAAAAAAAAAGATAGGAAAGATATATATATCTCGTTTGATGACCTAGCTTCCAAATTATATGGTGATAATCCCGAGTATTTTGTTGCCATTTTTATAACTTCTAGGCTATAATTAAAAGGTGGCATTTGGCAATTTGCAACTCCCATAGCTATTCTAGTGAACTCAATTTTATCCACTTGGTATTCATATGACTCAACTTCTTTTCTTTTAACGCCTATTATTGGGATGCTCATTTCAAATCTCTTCTTTTCTTTTGTCATGGGAGTTACCGAGGTTAATAGAGCTTACACTTTTTCATGAAATTCATAACAATCTTCTATATCATATCTACTCTTGTTATGAAATTCGCAAAACTACTAGGTATGGGTAAGAGTTTGAGATTTAATAGATTTCTTATTGACGTTGACAACATTCATCATAGCAAACAAGTCGGACATAGAGACTTTCAAGGCTAATTCTTTTTGTCACTCCCTATATCATTTAATGGCAACATATTCACTTCACCGACAACAATATAGTTGAAAAGATGATTATTGTTAATAGAATCGAACCTTGGTCAAACAATAAGCAAACATGCTTCTTAAAACCTAAACAATCTTTGATATTACGACCAATCATCGTCGCTATGATACTCACAATAGTTATTAGGATTATACCACTAAAGGAATAGAGGTTGTCATGAAGTAGTATTCATAGGAGTTACTTAACCAATAATCACGAGGTGCTTGAAGAGATCACTTAATGAAATTCACGAGAGGAGGCAATAACTCTTTATATTTCTCGTAACTCGAGTTTCATTAATTGTTTGCCTTGAATGGCCTTTGTTGGTTATTGAATGGATGAGCGTTGTGCGCTTTTTTTGGGACAAGGTCGGGCTAGGAATCTTAGGATGAATAGACCTATATGTGCCCCCAAGCATAGTAGTGGCAATAGGAATTGTAATACTCGTAGCCTTCGGTTGGGTTTAAAGAGAGGTAGCCTCGAAAATGCCACTTAAGAAATAGAACTTAATACAATAATGAACACCCCAAGGATGATAAATGGCAGACCTATTCTTCAATTTAGAGGCACCTAAGTAGGTATGTCTCTAAGGGTAGTAGCAACAATATGGATTGTAGTGCTCATAGCTTTACGGTTAGGCATAAAGAAAGGTGGCCTCAAAAATGCCATTTGAGAAATAGAACTTGATATAGTAGTGAATACTTTAAGAATGACAAATGCCTTACCCATTCGTTAATTTAGAGGTGCTTCGATAGATATGCCTCCAAGGGTAGTAGCAATGATAGGGATTACAATGCTCATAACTTTACGGTTGGGCATAAAGAAAGGTGACCTCGAAGATGCTATTTGAGAAGTAGGTGTGCGGACTTGCGAGCTTTACTCAACTAAAATAGCTAGCCTAGACACTTATGTTTTCAAAGCACTTAATTCCTTCCGAATTAAGCTCTTTATTCGTTGTCCATTTTTGCTTTGGCTTGAGTTGTAAACTCTTAAGGGAAAAATATAATTTTGACAAAATGACTTGTGCTTTTCTACTTAAATAAAAAGATAGCAAAACACAATAACATAAATAATATTTTAACATAAATAAAGACATTTGTGACTAGATATATAGTAGTCATATATGAGAGGTGACAAAAGAGTTCCTTTTTTTTTATTTCATCTCTCAAGAGATTTCTTGTGGTAGGTTTAAAGATGTGATTATTTACATTAGTAACCTCTTGATGCTTGCTTGAACCGAGTTTGAATTCTTTTATCACCCATCCCGAAACATCATGACTAAGTTATCTTAGTTAAGGTTTCAAACACGTTCGACTTGCCCAATTCATTTAATTAGGAAATGATGGTCCTAAAGTTTAGTTCTAGTCGTTGTATGAATAGATAGGCTCTACCTAAGTCTTAAAAAGGTATCTTCCCACCTAGTGAGTCTTTAGTAGAATCACTAGGACTATTTATGACAAGCATCAACAATCATGAAAATCATCAATTGTCTATTACCAATGGCCGCTACCAAGAAGGATTAAGGTTTCATAAGTGTCTACCCAAAGCAAAGCCCATCGAAGCACCACTACTAATTCTCTAAATCCTAAGGAAAATACAAATGAAAGTTATAATCATAAAATGATATGTATGGGGCATAACTCTATATCTAGTCTCAAAATATGAAATAGAGCTTAAGAATTAAATAACTAGAGCTTAAAGGAAAAACAACACAAA